CCCAGGAGTTTGAGGTTGCTGTGAGCTAGGATGACGCCACAGCACTCTAGCCCGGGCAACAGAGCAAGACTCTGTCTCAAAAAAAAAACAAAAAACAAATAACAAACACCAGGCCACATAGAAAATCTCAAGTTCTCCAAAGTATGTTTACGTGCATCCTGGACTGCAGTGAAACAAAGTCAGAAGTTTGGGTGTTTTTCTTTTCATCCTTGAAGTCACAGATTTTCCTAGCTTGTATGCTGGGCCTACTGATGAAACCGCCCTTTATAAAATTAATAAAGGGCCACAAGGTGGGAACTGTGGTAGGGACCTGGACTCTGCAAAGGCATAGACATAGTTAAAGTGTATATATAACCAGTCATTGTTCCCTAGCTTGCTTTCCTATAATTGCTTACTACTCAAGAGTCATATAAGCTGATGGTCGTAAAGATTCTTAGCTTTCTTCATTGCTCCCATAGATAACATCACCTTTGTGAAACCTAAGGCTAGTTTTAGAGGTACCTTCCAGGCCCTACATTCCAGTGGAATGACTGACCCACCCAGACCAGTGGCCCATACCGAGGAACTGATTCAACTGGTCTTGTGACTCCACCCAAGAACCGACTCAGCAAAGAAGACAATTTCTACACTCTTATGTTTCCACCCTAAACTCAGCCAATCAGCAGACCTAGTTGCCTAGCCCTTTGCCACCAAATTCCCAGGGAGACAGATTTGAGAATTTCCTCCCATCTCCTTGCAGGGTGCCTGTAGTATTAAACTTCCTCTGCTTTGACCCCTGCTGTCTCAGTATATTGGCTTCGCCTTGAACAGCCAGAAGTGAACCTGGTTGGGCTGTAACACTGAGGGGACGATTGCCTCTAGTAGCAGATATTCCATGCAGGACATGGAGGCCAAAGGCTTTCTCTTCTGAGACTACTCCTTTGAAAGAGAACTCCTGGTTTATGAGGTCATCTGACTTTTATAGCCACTTGCTTAAGTAGATTGGAAGCAGCCAGGCTGGATGATTTGCCTAAAAGTACATAGTTGTAAGCACATACCCTCCTTCCCATTCGCTGTTCTGTGTCCACCCTTATACCACTGGCTGTTTAGTCTGAGTCTCCAAATGAATTTATTCTCAGTGTATTTTGGAGTTTAAGGGAAGAGTCAAGGCAGGAGTGGGAAAGCTTAGCAATCACTTGAGTCTCATTTGATTTGAAGTATCGAGGCCTCCCAGGAAATCTCTGTGGATGGTGGCTTAAAATTTTTTAAAAAATTATTTAGGTTTTGGTTTATTACTTACACAGGTCAAGTTTACTGGTTTGAATAATCGAGGGATAGTTATGAAAGGAAAGCAGCCAAATTTTCAAACAGATTAAAGAAACTACTGTAGGGATGGTATTTGAGGCTGGTGGTGTTGGGGGTTCTCTCATCAGGTAGAAATAAGCTGTCTTTCAAAGATAAGACTGTATGAGAATAATAGTATATGTTTTGGCACTCCTGGTCTCGAACTCCTGACCTCAAGTGACCCTCCCACCTCGGCCTCCCAGAGTGCTAGGATTACAGGGGTGAGCCACCATGCCCCGTTTTTGGTAACTGGACAAATCACATGGCCTACATCTTTTTTCTCATTAAGATGACTACTGAGGTACTAAATCCAATTTATAAAGTTTGCTTAAAAATTCAGCCAAGATCTACTTTATATACCCTAAACAGCTTTAGTTGAAGTACCTCTATTTAGGTAAATTGTTTAAATAAAACTAATTAGCTTTCTGTCTGATTTTAAAATGTTTTTTTCTCTCTTAAGATGATTTTAAAATGCAATTACTACCTTACCAAGTAACAGAAAAAAGAAAAACATTGTGACTACAGTACTGTGCCTTTTTTTTTCTTTTACTATCTGATTGTTTTAGGAGATGATGGTGAATTAACCTGATTGCAAGTAAATCGTAGGTCTTTAGTTCCACTCACTTGGCATTACTCCCTCTCCACTGTAGTTGAAAGAGAGGTTAATCAGAGCTAATTTGTGTGTCCTAAGTACGAAGTTAATACGATGTTGCTGGTCCTTGTTGCACCTTTCCTAGATAACGAAGAATTGAGTATAATTTCTTAAACATTAGCAACAACAAAGTCACATGGAGGACGTGTTAAGACGCAAATACTGGGCCCCATTTGCAGAGTTTCTGATTCAGTAGGTCCAGGGTAGGCCTGAGTGAGAATCAGATTTTCAAACAAGTTCCCAGATGATGCTGATTCTGGTATCACATGCCCACACTTTGAGAATCATTTGTGTTGAACATGATTTTAAGTGGTCCTCTGACCATCACTTTCCTTATTCTGACTAATCAAGAGTTGATTCTAATTGAAATAATAACTTAGATATTTTATGCTATGATTTTCATCCCAAGCATTTCCCCAAGTTGCTCTACATTCCTTATTTTAACTTAAATTGTACAAGTAATCCATGTTCATTTAATAAACAGGAAAAATATGCTAAAAGAAAAATTAGTTATGAATTCTACCTGGGTCGATATTTTAGTGTATATCCTTCCAATCTCTCTATAGATAGATACACAAAACTGTGTGGTATATATAGGTATATGTATATGTACAAACACACATATAAAATCCACACAGATAGCTAACAAAGTGAGATATTAGTCATGTATTTTTAGCCTACTATGTAGTAATTATATTTTTATGTTGAATATAGATCTATATAGTTTTAATTGCTGCAGATTTTTCCAGTGTATGAGTATATTATAATTTATTTAATTACTTTCTCCATTGTTGACTCTTGTTCCAGTTTTTCATTATTGATAATATTGTGTTGAATATCTTAATACATACCATATTTGCCCAATTATTTTCTTAGGATGATAATTTACATGTATAATTGCTGTGTAAAAGGTTATACACTTTTAAAAAAAAAATCTTTGCTAGTTTAAAAGACCAAAAAATATATTATAGTTTGGTTATTGGTAAGATTTATTGGCTGTTTTTATCTTTGTGAATTACCTATTTATATCCATTGCTCATTTTTCCATTGAGTGTCCATCTTTTCATTTTTATTTGTAAGATCTTTTTATTAGAATGTTAACTTTTTGTCATATATTTCAAATATTTTCCCTAATTTATTTGACATATATTTAGTTGATTTCATTTCCCTCACAACCATCTCCTGTAAAACTTTAACATTTTCTAGAGTCAGATTCTGCTCGGACTGCTTACTCACCATTTTTAGTGGCTGTGTAATATTTCTTTGAGTTGAGTGTACCGTAATTTACTTTTATTAGCCTGAAATTTTGGGGGTTCCTCAAAAAAGCCTAAGCATGTTATCTGGTGCTTTTTCAGTTTTTCTCTCTACTTTCTTTCTTTAATTAGATGCTAACCCTGAAGTGACAATGACAATGCTTCGCTGGATCTATACGGATGAGTTGGAGTTCAGAGAGGATGATGTGTTCCTGACTGAACTGATGAAACTAGCAAATCGGTTTCAGCTACAGCTCCTTAGGGAGAGGCAAGTCACAGCAGATATATTCAAGCACCTCAGATGGTGGTGGCTGAGCTTTAATTATGCCAAGCTCTGGGAAAACAGCTTCTTCTGCTCATGTAAATAACTTTTGCAAGGTGTTCTTTTAAAGGCAATGGTGGGGAGAGAATTTATCTCCCTTGCTTTGTGTTATCTTGTAAGCTAAATTTTGCTAAAGCTTTTCAGTATTCTCTTTTCTTTCACTGGTCTATTACCTGAGGTTACTTATTTGTATAAACTGATAAATTGAGTATGAAATAATATGTTCCAGTGTCTAAACTCTCAACTTTCCCTCCCATTCTGTTTCCTTTGACATTTTATTCTACTTTCTGATATATCTAATCAAATGAAGTCCTTGGTCATATTCTCTTTGTTGGAAACACATTAATGCCTAAATTAATACATGAGAGTATGGTTCAAATAAGTTTCATAGCTCTTGAAGATCTCACTTCATTTAAGTTACTGCTTTTTAGGTTGCCAAGGAAATAGCATGGTGTGTTTTTTTATGTTGCATTTTCTCTGTTGCTCTCCCAAGTTGGCATTTTAGAACAACAGAAAACAAAACGTTCGCCAAATGATGTCAGGCAAAATGTCCTGGAGCATCTGTTGGCAATACAGCTTTTGGTGGTCAGCTTGGTTGACGGGGTGTCTTTTTAAGTCACTTAGTGATCTTTTGTATCTTCTTGAGTACACAAAGGAATGGATTTTCTCCCGGGTGGGTGAAGGGGTGGTTTCAGCTATCAAGCCACCCCTTGCTGTGTTGCCCTCAGAGAGCCAAGAGAGACTTTGCTACCTAGAGCTGCTTGCTGTTTTCACCGTGGGGCTGATGGTTTTCCCCTGGGGTGGCTCACTGTACTTCACATGAATCAGTGGATAGGTTTCTCCTATCTATAATTGGCATGGGCTTGAGTGTATTTTAACATATAAATCCAATAACTAAAAAAACTAAAAAACAACAATAAAAAAACAGGTCCAAGATCTGTAGGCACATATAGTATTAGGTTATTAGCAAAGCTAACTTCACAATTAACTTTCATTTGTTTGTTTGTTTTGGTGAGTTTCAGTGAGAGTGAAATAAGACTGCTTTTAATTAGTGGGTGATTTATGTCTTTTTTTCAGATTTCCTGAGCTTTCTCCAATTGATCTTGTCAAACTTGCTTATAAATTAAATTGCTGTGATAAAAATGCCCTGGGGTGGGTAGTTTAGATAATTGTAATCTGTGTAACGGATTCTTTAATTAAAGTGCTTGTTGTTTATTGACTGAGTAGGTTTCATAACTCTCAGCATTACCAGATGCTCAGTTTTGTGTTGTTGGATTTGAGTATTAAATTGTTATCTGTCATGGCTTTCTTAAGAGCTGGGATGGAAGAGACTCAGGAGTGGAGTCAAGTGTTGGCTTTTAAAGGGTCGCAGGGTGCCCACTGCTGTCTGCAGAAGAAATTACACATTTGAGACAGTAAGTGAAAGGGCTCTGACAGATGCGTGCAGTTCGGTATGAAGCAGATGTTGCTCATTTTTGTAACGTAGGGGTCTCGGGGTTTTGGAATGCTATCACCAATTTGATGAAAAGGAAGTTTTTTTGGTAAGTATTATCAGGAAAATACTCTTAAAAAAATAAAAAAGGAGAATAATGTATACTAAAAAATGGCAGTTAATATTTTTTTTCTGATTATAAAACTATAATACATGTTCAGTGTATGGTATTTGGAAAATAAAGAATGATATAAAGAAAAAAATAAATCATCTGTAATTCAAGCACTCTTTACTTTTTGTTGTTTTTCCTTTCTGTAATTTTCCATGTCTCTCACATACACTCAAGATTGATACAAAAACTAGATAGGAGTTTGTGGGACACTTAAATGTATGTATGCTTGATTTTGTACTTTAAAAATTAGGTTTGTTGCTTTTATGCATCTGTATCCTTTTTGTACTCTAAGATTAAAAACATACATTAATAACAACAAAAAAAAATTTCCCTTCAGGGGAAAGTTATTCTGTCTTGCTACTTTTCAAAGAGAAGATATGAGCCAGGAATCTAAATTTTTAAATAAGATTATATATTCTTCAGTGGTGTAAATCGTGTCAGTTACTATTTACAGGCTATCCAAATGGCAAATGGCACTCTGGGGATCCTAGAATTAGTGATAACGAAGTGTCTGCCAGTTTTATCAAAGATCTGTCCTCATAAAATGTATTTGAGTCCCTTAGTGCAATGTCACTTAACAGGGTAGAGGAGAACGGGATTTCCAGATCCTCAGCATTTGTTGGTAAAAGTGCTTTATAAAGTGCTCTACAAGTGTGAGTCATTGTTCCCTGAGATCATGCTGTGTATTAGGCTGCTTGGTGTTAGGGTGTTAAGAAGGCAAGACCATGAGTATTTATCATTGTAAAAGTGGTCCAAAGAGGATTTTTTGTCCTGGAATGTTCTGATTTCATAGCTGAGTTCAGAGTGACTTTGTCAAACACTGCTGTGGTGTGGTGTGAGTTTGAAGAAACCAATGGTTCAGAAAACTGGGGCTTAGAAATATAATGCTGTTATATGTAACTTACTGTTCTTATTTATTGTTATAGTAACTTACTTAGATATTAGAACACCTGATTTAAAAAATGTCCTGGACAGATGCTTCTTTACACTATGTTAGCTATGTTAGTTAAAAAACAAAGCACCAGGTCTTTGTATAAAGTAAGTGCCTGCATTTACTGCTAGATGAAGACAGCGCTCCAAGATTGTATTCTTGCTCCTAGCCTAAGGTCTCATTTGTGAGATTTTGAAAGTTTGTTCTTCGTCCTTCCCAGCTCTTCCTTAGGACGTCGTTCTTTCTTCCCCCGTCACTCACTCCCGTGGACTCTTTGTCCACTTCTGTTACCTAAAGCTCACCTGTTAAGTCTGGGAATTATCTGCTAGCCAGTTATTCTTATTTATAATAGGGCTGATATCCATTAATATCAGTTATTAAATTATGATTTCTTTTTACACTTTTTCTGTTTTTCCTTACTAAAGGAATTTCAGGCCTTAGAGAAGGGGACGGCTAGGAGGGTGACTTCAGATCTATGGGCATACCTATCATGTACGTCATGCTGTGCTAAGTATAACTAGTTTTCCTCCATCTTGAAAAACACGAAGGTTCCTCAAACCTCTGAAATAGAGCATCATCATCTTTATTTTCTAGAGATGGAGATGGGGCACAGAGAGCTCAAGTAGTTTGGTACCTAAAATTTAGTGGGTCTCAACTCAGTTCTGTCTCACCTCATAGTTTATTTTATTCTCTCCACTACATTCTGCCTTTGTGCTTAGAAAGGAGTTTCTGTGGGGGCTGTGTGACAGGGGAAGCAATGGCGAGTTGTCTGGGAACACCCCTGATGCCACACTAGGCCTCTGTGGCTGCCCTTGGGGTGAACCTGATACGCGGGGAGATGTGGAGGCAAGAGAGATGAAGGACCATGCTGTGGCCTTCTTTCCCCCGTAGGCCTCTTTTGTGGAAGACTCACTAAGGTTTCCAGGAATTCTGGGGTAGAGGAAGCATGGATATTTCCAATGCTGTATCTTCTAGGCTAGGATATGGTGCCTGTTTTATGTTACCAGAATCCTGTATGTCTGCATGTGACTCTCTCTTCACTGATGTAGTTGATGTTCTCTTGTTAATGATTCTGAAAGAATCCTGTGGTTGATGTAGTTGATGTTCTCTTACTAATGATTCTGAAAGAGTCCTGTTGTTGTTACCTGGCTTTATGAGGAACATCCACTGTAGCCAGTTTTTCTGTTTTGGTATGATATGGTTTTGTTGTTGTTGTTATAGCAGAAATAGGATTTGTGTGTGTGTGTGTGTGTATATACAATAGTTGGCTCTTAATTGTTTCTGTGCATTATAGATATTCTGGGTGGACTTTTAAAATACAGATTTATTGAATTATAATTCACACACCATACAAATTCATCTTTTGGTAGGACTTTTAAGGAGGTATTAATTTTTTGAGGCATAGAGCCTCATATTTGAAGCTATTTTTAAGCCACACTTTTTGCATAATAGAGTTGTGCTACTGGGAACTACAGAGGTGTCTTGTACAATTAAATATCAAAGAACTAAAGTTGATCCATTGTGATTCTGCAATTACCTGTGTAGAATTCACCTGATCAGTGAATTTTATATGATTACTGTTAAGGCAATTGTGGTATTATGGTTAGCAAATTGATGTGCAAGTTATTTTGATTCTGACCAGAACCAAGCAGTAAAATATCAGAATGAAATTCTGGTACTTTTAAAATATGGAAGCCCAGCTATACTTATTCATAACTACTTTGCTTAATCTTATGTCATAGTATTATTGGACATAGCCAGCCAGTACACAGATTATTGCTTTGGTTTGTTCATTTATGAATATATTTGTCCTAATAACACTGCTCATCATTAATATTCTCTTGTAGATGTGAGAAGGGTGTTATGTCTCTAGTGAATGTCAGGAACTGTATTCGCTTCTACCAGACTGCGGAGGAACTGAATGCCAGCACACTGATGAACTACTGTGCAGAAATCATTGCAAGTCACTGGGTGAGTGAGAGGTTGAGGGGTATGGACAAATCAGTCTCACTGGCAATCAGAAGACTTAGGCTTGGAAGGTGGTTCTGTGGAAAGTTACCTCTCTGGCATCTAGTTTTCTCTTGTTACAAAATGTAAGAGTAAGTAGTTGGATTGGATGATCTATGAGACTGTTTTCAGTTCTGAAAGTCTGTTAGTTCTGTGATTTCAGAGTGGAGGGGCAGAAGATAGCTCAGGTCCAGAAACAGGTTTGGAAGGAGGGACACCTGCCTTAGTCCTCCATCTGTGGAGGCTGCAGCTAAGTCACAGGAGTAGGATGCCACTCTGGGGCCAGCAGGTCCTGTGGTACTCAGTAGCACCATTTCAGAGCTTTCCCTTGCTTTCTCTCCATCAGGTGAAGACCATTACTAAATTTGAATTTTCCTTTCTTAGGTTGTTTTCATCGTACAGAACAGCTTTTACATTTCTTTGTTACATTGTTTTGCATTTTTGAAAAATCAGGAGTAATGCTGTTTTATAAATTAGTTTCTGCAAATTATTTGATATTCAACAACATTGTAAGAAGAGTCTTAAGAGTTTCAGAAAAGGTGGCTAAAAGAACTGGATTTTAAAGAATTCAAATAGGATTAGTAAGCTTTCTGCTAAAATAGGTAGAAATATAGAGATTCACAGTAGTAGTGACCAAGTGTGACTCAGTGGAGTAAATTGTTTATGGAAGTTCCAGTTAATTCTGTAATTGTAGGGTTAAGGGGAAGAGGATTTTATTCTCATATGGAGGGCTGCCTCATGACTCAGCTCTTGTTAGAGGTCAGCGTTGTTTGTGCTTTGCATCTCACTGAGAGGCGTAGTAGTGCTGTGGTAAAGAGTGCAGGCTTGGGAGGTAGACCTCTTGGTTCCAGATCTGGACTCAGCCATTTACTCCCTTTCTTAACTTGTGCAAGTTATTTAACCTCTTTATGCTTTACATTTCTCATTTGTAAAATGGAGATGATAATAGTACCTACCTCATAGGGTTTTTGTGAGGATTAAATAAGTTGGGAAATGTTAGGCCCTAAAAGTAGGGCCTGACACATTCTAAGGGCTTAATAAATGACAGTTGTTACCATTTTTTATCTGTTCTGCTTTTTATACATTCAGAGGGCTTAATAAATGACAATTGTTATTATTTTGTATTTTTTCTGCTTTTTACTATGTTATTAATTCTTAGGATGACTTACGAAAGGAGGACTTCAGTAGCATGAGTGCTCAGTTGTTGTACAAAATGATCAAATCCAAGACGGAGTACCCATTACATAAAGCCATCAAAGTGGAAAGAGAAGATGTGGTCTTCCTTTATCTGATTGAAATGGATTCACAGGTACTATAGCTGCTTTTTCCATTTTTCGTATCTTTTCCCAAAACTTTAATGCACTTGTTTTTCCTCTGTGATGCTCCTTACTTCCTTGTTAACCATCACTGGCCCAGTCATATTAATGTACGTATTTCTACTAATAGTTTGTTCAAGGCAGTCTGGGGTTTTTCTGCCGTGCTTCTCAAAATTCTTCCAGCCTCAGCCTGTTGCCCAATTTCAAAGCCACTTACATGTCTTTAGGCAGTTGTTACAGTAGTACCTACCTTCCATGAGTCAAAATCTGTATTAGAAGCTTTCTTTTACTGCTATAATAAAGTGCTACAAACTTAATGGCTTAAAACAACACAACTTTGTTACCTGACAGTTTTGTAGGTTGGAAGTCCCATATAGGCCTCACTGGACTAAAAGTGTTAGCAGGCTGTGCTCCTTTCCAGAAGCTCTCAGGGAGAATCCATTTCTTGCTCATTTGGGTTTTTGGTAGGATTCAGTTTCTTGAAGTTACAGGATCGAGGTCCCTGTTTTCTTGCTGGCTGTCAGCTGAGGGCCATTCCCAGCTTCCAGATTCTAGAGGCCACATTCCTTAGCTCGTGGCCCCTGTGTTCATCTTCAGAGCCAGCAGTGGTGGGTCAGGTCCTTCTCATGTCTCTCCTCTCTGACCTACTCTTCTCTCTTTCACTTTTTAAGGACTCATGTGAGTAGATAGATTGGGCCCTCCTGAAGAATCCAGGATACTGTCCCCGTCTCAAGGTTCTTAACCTTGATCACATATTCAAAGTGCCCTTTGCCGTGTAAGGTGACATATTCACAGGTTCTGGGATTAGGACATGGACGTTTTTTGGGGGGCTATTGCTCTGCCTACCACACTGCCTTAAAAGAAATTCAGTTGCTCTTGACAGACGGGAGTGAAATATGGTTTATCCTGGGTATCCAGTATGTGGGGAAACATTAAAGTGCTAGGAGGAATTAGATAGTTAAGCCACGGCCTTTCACGAAAATGTTTACTGTGAAGCTCTCTGAACCTCTGCTTTGGTCCTTGTGCTCTTCAGCACTCTGTCTACATTTCCCCCGTGGTCCTTACATTGTCTGCCATGTTTACATTTGTTCTGTGATCCCCATTAACTCTGTGCTCCCTGAAAGCATGTGCCCTGAGGGGGCCGTATAGAAGTTTGTGAATGAGGTTGAATTTGTGGAATAAGCAGTGTCATAGCCCATAAATTTGACATTTGTATGAGATGGTATTTAAGGGTCAAGGTGGAAGATTTTAAAATAGGTTGTATTCTCTACTGACTGGGTGCTAATTTATAAACTTATCTGTGTAGCTCCCTGGAAAGCTGAATGAAGTGGATCATAATGGAGATCTTGCATTAGATCTAGCCCTTTCACGACGACTAGAGAGTATTGCCACCACGCTGGTTAGTCACAAAGCTGACGTGGACATGGTAGACAAGAATGGCTGGAGCTTGTTACATAAAGGAATCCAAAGAGGTAGGAAGAAGTGTATTTTAAATTTTTCTCTGCAGGCAATTTTATTTTTATCCAAGTAATTTTTGAAGACTCTCTGACTCTGTTCCAAGAATTCCCAAAGGCTTGAGTCTGTATTCACAGGCTACATGATTTAGAATTTGTGAACACTGGGTCAGAGGAAGAACTAAAGAGCTATTGCCTATGCTTTGTTATTTTGACTGTTCATAGTACCAACAGGGCCCCAGAAAGAAAGGCTAAAAAGATGGCACTTTGTGAAGAAGTACCTTTCACTTTTAAGCAGTTAATACATTTGTTTGGGCCAGGTGCAGTGGCACACATCTATAATCCTAGCACTCTGGGATGCTGAGGCGGAAGGATCACTTGAGGTCAGGAGTTTGAGACCAGCCTCAGCAAGAGTTAGAGACTCCATCTGTACTAAAAATAGAAGGAAATTAGCCAGACAACTAAAAAATAGAAAAAATTAGCCAGGCTTAGTGGCACACGCCTGTAGTCCCAGTTACTCGGGAGGCTGAGGCAGGAGGATAGCTTTAGCCCAGGAATTTGAGGTTGCTGTGAGCTAAGCTGATGCCACGGCACTCTAGCCTGGGTGACAGAGCGAGACTCTGTCTCAAAAAAAAAAAATTTGCTTGTTCAATAGATCACGCTCTAGGAATTGTGCTAGGAAGACTTTACTTTTGTATCCTAACATGGATACAGGAAGGTATCAAACCCACAGATGTTTAACGTATTCTTGGATTCGGGTTCGCAGACTAGACTTCTATCATGGCAAAGTGATAAAGTTTCATTCTGTTCTAGGAAAACTATCTGAAATTGTAGTTGCATTTTGAGTACATTGTTAGTGGTGGGAAAAACATGGAAATGGTAGAATTGAGATCAAAACATTTAATCTTAATGAATTAACTTTTCAAGGGGAAAAAACATACTAGTTTTTTGTTTTGTTTTTCCCATGACCTTATTAATTCATAAGTCCCAAATGGCTCCTGGCTAACTCTGCTTTGCAGTGATCACTTTTGATGGAGTGAGAGTCTGTAGAGGTAGAGTTCCGGTGTGAAATGAAAGCATTCAGAAATGTCAAAGCCTTAATTTATTAGAGGGATGGTTGACTTGATTGAAGTACTTTGCCATGGCCACTCTTTTGTTGTTTACATTACAAAGACAGAATATACTGGTTTTACCACTTCTTAATCATGTATATTTTCCCCTCTTATTATGCATTCTTATACTATTATTGCCTATGCTACAATTTTGCCTTTTATAAGTTGCTCCTAGTTGGTAGAATGTGGTTACTTCAAGATGTTGTCCTGTTCCATCTGTGGCTTTGCCGTTTTTGGGCAGAGGTTTTAATATAAATATCTTTCTAAGCCATGTGTTAGAGTGTTGAGCTTGCTGGCTGGTAGAGAGGAAAATTTTGCTCATCACTGGATAGGAAATCCTTAGAGTATGTTAGTGTCAACAGCAGACGCATTTTTCCCAAGCACCATTCTGTTCTAGCACTGTGCAAAGCCTTCGGGTGCTTAGCCTTTGGGTGTGTGTTCAGTGGGGAAAATTCCACCACACAGGGAATTATTCTTTCCCACATTGTTTAGTGTCTGAGATGTTTATTTTGGAAACATACACTTGTTACCAAAAAAACAATCTGAGAATTATGTTTCTTTCCTCTCAGGGACTTCAGTTCTTATGTTTGATGAAAAAACATCTTTGATGAGTTATTAAATATTTTGATGATTGCTTAGTTACAAGAATTGCCAAGAATTGGTGATACGTTTTTATGCTTATTTTCAGATGATTTAATCTTCCACTCAGTTTATCGATTGTCTGCAAGCATATGGAGTATAGTGTGGGTATAATAAACTTGGTTGTTGCTAACTTAGAGAGTGTTGCATGATGTGGTGGACAGAGCTCTGGCTGTGGAGCTTGGATGTACCAAGGTTTGAATCCTGGTTCATCCGTTTGCTCTGTGGCCTTGGACAAGTCACTTGACCACTCTGTTCCTTTTCCTTATCTATAAAGTGGGAACCATTTCTGCTTTACTGGTTTGTTGGAGGAATGCGAGACAGTGTGAGCAGCACATCTAGCACAGTGTACCAGTTGAGTGGTAGGGTCAACCCAGCGGTTCTTACCTTGCCCTTGTATTGGAGGGTCATAAGCAGACCCAATTCCTGTAGGAATTTTTTTCACTTTTCTTCCTTCAACTTGGGCTGTCAGTGTGTTGATCTGCAGAAATGATTAAATTGAGTAATATACTTAAGTTTAACTGTTAAACTTATTTTAAGTTTATTAAAATATGTATGAAGGTCTTTAATATGCGTGATTTAGGTCTAGGTCTGGGCACATGTTAGAATGTGTAAACAGAAAAGTCAGTGATTATCCTAATAACCAAGTATACCAGTTAGTTTGTCTAAAGAATGAAATAGCCAGTGTCTGTGGGGAGTCCACAGGAGACACACGTATGGCCAGAGGGATGCCATCTCCTTTGATTAGCCTGATCTGGGCAAGAAGGTGAATCCTTGCTTTTTAAAAAATCTAGTTTCTCCTATACTTTTTTACCTTATAATAACCAACATCAATCAATAGGTCTTTTAAATAGGATGCTCCAGTTCAGTTATTTATAGTAAATTTGGAAAAGATGCCACCAACTAGAGCAACATGAAATACAGTTTGTATTAATGGAATAATGAAGGTTACTGGCTATTCCATGAATAGAACTTTTGTCAGGAAGCTGCATAGAAAGAAAAATTGTGTGTGGATTTATTTATTTATTTATTTATTTATTTTGTGTTAACATTTTTGTTGGGAATGTTTTTGTGTGGACAGATTATTATAATAATGCCTCATTTATCTGGTGAATGAAATGATAAAGTGACTGAAACTTTTAAACACCAGTTTTTATTTTAACTGTTTTAAATCTTTCTAAAATGTGTTGTACATTCTCTTATTGACAGAAACCTTATAAATGGTGCTTTTGGCATTTTCTCTTCCTTCCCTTTATTCTGCTCTTTTGATGTAAATTGTTGTCTTTTTTTAGTTTATATACTCTCTGGGCCGACTTTCTTTTAATATGAAGATTTTCTTTTAATCAAGTTTCAATTTCCAGTAACTTACAAATGGCTTTTTCTTGTGGGGTGTATTATATTTATGTACATATATATGTATAATTATAAGTAAAAACCCTTTATCTTTGGATCTCATTAATAAAGTAAATCTAATCTGAAATCTGTAATTTTTTAAAGAGGAGTTAAGATATAAAATGTTCATTATGCCTTGCACCTGAATCCAAGCATGCATAGGTTTTCTTGTAGCCGTACTCTCACTTCTGTGTGGAGTATTGACCAGTTTATCTTCTGTATGTATAGTGTAATATACTTTTTAAATTAACCTATCTTGTTTTAGTTTTACTAAGTTTATTTCTTACTTTGGAGTATATGTCAAGCTTAACAGTAATGAAACTCCCCCCCACCCCCACTGAGTATCTTGTATTTTAGACTTTTCATTAATGCTCTTTGTCCTAACGATTGTGAATTTTCTTTCCACTCCCAGAATGTAAGTGGCTTTTTTAAAGATATTTTGTTCTATTGCTAATGTATTTTTTTAAATATATGTATTGTCTCCTAAACTGAATCTATGTTGGGTTTGTTCATGCTAAACATTAGGGCCCTCTATGTATATGTATTACATAAGTGGATAGCAAAGGCCTGACTCGGCCTTGCCCCCAGCATGTATCTTACCTGTTTCTTCCAGTGCTTTACTGACATCCTATTGTAAAGAAACCTATGCTTTGGCCCTTTGCACCTGATATTGGTAAAGATTGTACCCTTCTTCACCCCCCACCTCCCACCCCACGCCCTGCCCCAAAATGGGAGCAGAAGTATGAAAATATTGCAGGAGAGGGGGCTGGTTGGAGAAGTCTTAAGTTACCTGCTGTCATAATTGGTTCGAGTTAGAGCCAGCCCGTTTTGTATAAGTCAGTGGTGGATACAGCGGGGAAAAAAAAAAAAAAACCAAAGATGAGCCAGTTGAGCATCTGAGGGGCCAGTCAGTATCTGAGGCTGTCTAGCTGCTCCAATGCGAGAGCTCACATTTTCTAGCAAGATGGTCCCTTGGAAGAAAGTATAGAGCAGATGGGAAGTGTTGAAAACCAGATGATTTTGAAATTCCGTGTTCACTGACGACCAGATGAAACCTATATATTCAAATGAAAACAAGTGTAGGAATAGAGATAACAGATTGAGAGAGCTTTTTGCCACTCCTGAAACCCCATTTTAAGATGTTCAGACTGTGGAATATAGTCGAAGAAGATGAAATGATATTGTAAGATATAAAAGAAAACTTCTTATAAATGACTTTGTGAGGGAGAAAATCATCGTCTAGAAGTTGTGATTCAGCCGGGTACCGTGGCTCATGGCTGTAATCCCAGCACTTTGGGAGACCAAGGTGGAAAGGATGGCTGAGTCCAGGATTTAGAGACCAGCCTGGGCAACATAGTGAGATCCCGTCTCTATAGAAATGATTAAAAAAACTAGCCAGGCATGGTGGTACACCTCTTTAGTACCAGCTGCTCGGGAGGATGCTTTAGCCTAGGAGTTGGAGGCTTCAGTAAACTATGATCAAGCCATTGCACTCCAGCCTGAGGGACAGAATGAGTGAGACTCCATCTCTTATATAAAAAAGAGGAAGAAGGTGTGATTCAAAGGTATCTGCATCCACAATTTGAACAGAATTAGAAATAGATCAAAGTGTCCTGATTCAAAGACAAAAGCAGATCGACTGTGGAAAGAACACTATTGCCTATAATCAATATATTAATATTAAACAAGTTCCAAGTCACTTTCAACAACCTGGCATTCATCCTAAGACCACCAACACATTTAAGAAGTACAGTCAATGATCATGGGACCAGCAAATCAAACTCTGGGAGGTTGTTCTGTATCTTGAGGATCCTCCAGCTGAAGAAGGATGTGATTTGCAAGAAATTCATCCTGTAGACCTTGGTGAAGTGAAAACCAAATCTGCAGAAAGTACCTCTGAATCTCAGATGAGTTCTTGGGATAACTTAGATATGACACCCATCAGAGTTACACATGTGGGCTGTTGAGGATGAGTTTGATTTGGAAGCCATTAACTGAACCCTTGAAAGACTTTCTGGGTATGAGCTAATCGGTGCCACCTGGAGGCCACTGAGAGAAACAGGTGCTCCCACCAGCTGGGTGGAGTACCTGAAACGTCTGCAGTGGTCCCCAACCTTTTTGGCACAAGGGACTGGTTTCATGGAAGACAGTTTTTCCACGGGGTTGGGGTAGGGGGTGGTTTTGGGATGATTGAAGCACATTACATTTACTGTGCAGTCAAACCTCTCTGCTAATGATAATCTGTATTCGCAGCTGCTCCCCAGCGCTAGCATCACCACCTCAGCTCCACCTCAGATCATCAGGCATTAGATTCTCATAAGGAGCGCGCAACCTAGATCCTTCATATGCGCAGTTTACATAGGGTTTGTGGTCCTGTTAGTATCTAATGCCTCTGCTGTTCTGATAGGAGACAGAGCTCAGGCAGTGATGTGAGCTTTTTTACAAGTATTTTTAACATTAAATGGCCTCTTGTCAGATTTCTTAGTTCTGAATTTAAACATGTATTTGTGGAACCAATCTAGAGTTAGCTTATCTTTACTGATATATGAAAAAGTATTTTCACAAATGCATACCTTTAATATCTTAAACTTAATTCTTGGTCTTGTCAACATGTCAGTGTAATTTTTTTCCTCATACAGAGCATGAATAGTCAAAGATGGTAAACTGAGCTATTAAAAGTAATGAATTTTATGTAAGTTATTCAGTCTTAGTTTGCTATTTGTAAATAGTCCTAGGTAGACTCTTCTACCTATAATATTCTAAGAGTTAAGGCAATGGAAGACATTTAGAAAAATATTTTGTGTTTATAACCAGTTTTTCTGCCATGTAAAATCTTGGTAAATAGTAATGTGTACAGATTCTCTGTTCAAATATTTACCTGTAAACTTCTTGTTAAGATGTTATATTTATACGTGATGAGATTGTAAAACTAAAAAGAAAAGTAACTTTATAATTAATAAATCAGAGGTAGGCTTAGTCTGAACAGGAAACTGTATGCAAATGCAGCAGATTAGGGGTAAGTGTTGCTTACGTACAGGCTGTGGGAGAGAAAGATAAATTGTCTTGGGGAGGAATCCTGGAAGGCCTTTGAAGGATAGAAGCCTAGTAGCATTCTTAAACGGGAAAGAGATACTGAGGTGCAGGGGTAGGACAGATGATAACAGGCAATCAAAAATTGAACAAAGCATTTTGAATTAGACCATGTAACTCTATGATCAGGATGATGAGTTTCCACTTGCAGATGTCCCAAGTGGTTCCTTTAGCCACATCCAGTTGTCTCTCTTTGTCTGCATTTATTGACTGCTGCCTTTTGAGGAAGCACTGACCAGAATAGCTTGCCCTGTGTGTTGTCATGTTACTCTTTCTTCTGTTGTTTCTTTTCAAGGAGATCTCTTTGCTGCCACTTTCCTCATTAAGAATGGGGCCTTGGTCAATGCTGCTACGTTGGGTGCTCAGGAGACACCATTGCACCTTGTGGCGTTGTACAGTTCAAAGAAACATTCAGCAGATGTGATGTCTGAGATGGCACAGATTGCAGAGGCCCTCTTGCAGACTGGTGCCAACCCCAACATGCAGGACAGCAAGGGCAGGTAAGTTGGGAAACAGATAGACTAAGGCACACCCTTACCCTTAGCACTATTCCCAGAAGGTTATTTTATGGTAGCACATAATAATATACAGAGACTTAATATTCTTTTTTTTTTTTTTTTTTTTTTTTGAGACAGAGTCTCACTGTGTTGCCCGGGCTAGAGTACCGTGGCGTCAGCCTAGCTCACAGCAACCTCAAACTCCTGGGCTCAAGCGATCCTCCTGCCTCAGCCTCCCGAGTAGCTGGGATTACAGGCATGCGCCACCATGCCCGGCTAATATTTTCTATATATTTTTAGTTGTCCAATTAATTTCTTTCTATTTTTAGTAGAGATGGGGTCTCACTCTTGCTCAGGCTGGTTTCGAACTCCTGAGCTCAAACAATCCGCCCGCCTTGGCCTCCCAGAGAGCTAGGATTACAGGCGTGAGCCACCGCACCCGGCCGAGACTTAATATTCTTTACTTTGGCATTATTCAGTCTAATTTTTATTGAAGTCATAAATGTTGATTTATAGTAATAGTGTCACTACTAAGGCCAGAAGTGTTTGAGGAAAACATTTCCATCCTGGGTAGCTGAAGTCTTTGAATTTCTAAACAATTTCTATCCTCTTCGTATTGGAAGGAACGAGAATGGTCATCTAAACCAGCTTTTCCAAGAGAACCTTCTTCCAGCATTTCTTAGAGTTACTTGGATAGTTCAAAGAAGAGGAGCACACTAACTCCATGCAATCTGTTTTATTAATATTACTGTGGGGTCTAACTGTTAGAAAATTCTCCATATTAAACCCAGTTTTACCTTCTCTTATGTATTTGTTTTTTATTGATACATAATACATGTATATATTTTCAGAGTCAGTTACACCTTTTTATAAATACTTCCACTTTAGATAGCTCTTTATTTGCACAGCTTGCTATCTTTTTTTGTGTGTGTGTGAGACAAGGCCTCACTCTGTCACTTAGGCTGGAGTGCAGTGACATAATTTACTCACTTTAGCTTTGAGCTCCCGGGCTAAAGCAATCCTTCTGCCTCAGCTTCCCAAGTAGCTAGGACTGCAGGTGTGCCCCACCCATACCCCACCATGCCCAGCTAATTATTTTATTTTTTGTAGATACAGTGTCTTGCTATATTGCCCAGGTCTCAAACTCCTGGCATCAAATGACCCTCCCACCTCAGCCTTCCAAAGTGCTGGTATTACAGGTGTGAGCCCTGGTGCTTGGCTTTGCTACCTTCTTTCATAGCACAGGCCTTCAAATTTGTCAGTATTTATTGTGTTCCTTTGGCCCCTTCTCAGAAATATTTAGTTGAGGACTCCTTGTGGTTTAGAATCTAAGAAAACGCTGCTTGTCTTTGGGACAGCGGCATGGGAGGCCCTGAAGGGCAGTTAAGCCACCGGAATCACCAACCACAGTTGGAACCCACTTGTCACCATAGCAGCTCAATATTTGATGTCTTTGAAAACCCCCTTCAAAAATAAAAGATTTCTGGGAAATTTGGTTGTCAGAATAGGAAAATGGATTTGCGTGATGGGTAAAGTACTTAAATAAGATGTATCTCTGTGAACTCTCAATATCATGTGATAATTACCTTATCTCCCGAAATATTAATAACTGCATTCTTTTCCCCCTTGTTGATTCTGTGACTTTTTTTTCCTCCAGCCTCAGTAAACTTGTAGTCTGTCTGTCTGAGATAGATGCTGGCCTCAGTGTCTCTGTGTTCTGCAGAGGCAGTCTCCTTTAGGGCACTTGGGTGCTAGGTAAAAGCAGTAAGGAGAGTTAAGTGCCACTTTTATCAGTTCTTACCTGTTGCTACTCTGAGTGTAAGTATAACAGAACATGATGGAGATGAAGAAAGTTTCTTTCCAGAATTGGTGGAGGATAGGTAAGGGACAATATGCATACCTATGGTAGAAACTGCTGTTTTCAAAAAAATTAGTATATATGAATTCAGTAAGGGGTCATTATTGAATTGGAGAGTAGTTTAGATCTCTTCCTTTTATTGATTCTTATTGTTTTTGGTCACTGAATAAATGGTAACATATAGGCACATCCATTTTCATGTTTTGATACTTGGTCATGGTTGTGGAAAACTGTTCATCACAGAAATGTGGAGTTTGCCTGGCATGGTGGTTCATGCCTATAATCCCAGCACTTTGGGAGGCTGAGGCAGGAGGATTGCTTGAGGCCACAAAGGAGTTCAAGACTGGCCTGGGCAACATAGTGAGAGCCCATTTCTACAAAAAACAAAAATATTAGCTGGGCATAGTGGTGTGCTCTTGTGGTCCCAGCTTCTCAGGAGGCTGAGGCAGGAGGATCACTTGAGCCCAGGAGTTTGAGATTGCAGTGAGGTGTAATGACTCCACTGCACTTTAGCCTGGGCCCTATCTTAAAAAAATAAAAACAAAAAGAGAGAAATGTGGGATTTCTTACAGATAGTGATTCTGCCTAGGATTCTATTTAATAGTTGCCTTCTGCTGTGAGTAGTGCTGAATTGGGCCTGTCCTGAACTGACACCTCTTTTTATCCTGCAGGACTCCTTTACACTTGTCTATCACAGCCAGGAATGAATATGTATTCAATCAGCTGCTGCAATGTAAACAGTACGTAGAAAGACATAGAGACATGAAAACGCAATTGTGAGGGTGGGACTCTTTTAAAATGTCTTTTAATGTTACAAATTTTATAAAGTAAAAGTGAAATAAAAATTTGTCATTCAAAAAGTATAAAGAGAAAGAACGAAGCTGTTGGCAGTACAGAGTGTCTGAAGAAGATCGTATTTGCTGTTCATAATTACCTCCTTATTTCAGATTAGACTTAGAACTAAAAGACCATGAGGGCAGCACAGCTCTGTGGCTTGCAGTGCAGTACATCACTGTGTCTTCTGACCAGTCTGTGAACCCCTTCGAAGACTCCCCTGTGGTAAACGGGACTTCATTCGATGAAAACAGCTTTGCAGCTAGACTCATTCAGCGTGGCAGCAACACCGACGCACCTGACACGGTGACAGGTATATATAGCATGATAAACCCCCACGAGATGATGCTGAGTCTGCAGGCGCCATGAAATATTGTGTGATCATTTCTACCCAATGTTTAGAAACTGAATGGCATACTATATTGTAAGAATTGTTTCATACTTAATTTTAAATACAGTAAAAACCTGGATTGTAATTATTTTAAATCCTGTGCTTCAAAAAAAATTTAGCCAGACATCAAGTTAAGTCCTTTAAGCTGAAACACTTACATTTATTTAATTCAGTGATTATCAGATTTTTTTGGACTCAGAATTCCTTTTACAAACTTTTAAAAATTATATACCAAAGAGCTTCTGTTTGGGTGGGTTATATTTTTGATATTTACCATTATTAGAAATTAAAACAGAGAAATTGTTAAAAGATGTATTAATTTAATAGTAATAAACTATTATATGTTAATATATAACATTTTTTATGAAAAATAACTTTCAAAACAAAATTTCTTTAGAAGAGTAGCTGGTTTCTATTTTTGCCTCTGTATTCAATATTTTGAGATATGTTGTTTTGGTTAAAGTATATAAAGAAAATATACCACAGTTATGTAGTTGGCAAAGGGAACTATATTTTAATAGCCTTTTCAGATAACCATGGATATATTTTAGTTGATACTACAGCAAGTAAAATTCATCAAGTGATAGTTTCTTTAAGGTTAGTTGCAATGTGGAATCTGAAATCGTATCAATAAACTTCAGCACTTTGTTATATTAAAATCTGTGGTCCATTTGTGCTTCGAATGGATCTTTTCTCTATGCACGATTTTGTAACATAATGACTTAATCATTTGGAAAATATTGGTTTACTGAGTTATACAGATTTTCACCTGAAAGCTCAAATTTTATCACTTGGTACAAATTTTGTCAATTGTTTTTCTTAAAAAGACAGGCTTGCTTTGTTCATTTTCAAAAACATTTGAATAACAATAGTATGTTAATCATTCTTTCAAGTAAAAATACTGTTCCATGAGAAAAGCTGCTTAGTTCAGCTTATAACTTAAACAGTGGCACAAGTGGTTTTCCTCTAGTCAACATCATACCTAGGTATGTAGCAGAAGTAGCTTTATACATACTTCTCATTTTGTCATGCAGAATTTTTTAAAGACATGTACTCCATGTTGAAATTTAACAAAATTACAGTTATGCAATGCTTACTGACCAGGATGTGTTCTGAGAAATGCATCATTAGGCAATTTCGTCTTTATGCAAATATCATAGAGTGTACTTACACAAACCTAGGTGGTATAGCCTACTATACACCTAGCTTATATGATAGAGCCTATTGCTCCTAGGCTATAAACCTGTATAGCATGTTGTTATACTGAATATTGTAGGCAGCTGTAACATAATGGTAACTATTTGTGTATTTAAACATGGAAAAGGGACAGTAAAAATACAGTATTATAATCTTACGGGACAACCATCATATATGTGGTCCATTTGTTATGCAGCACATGACTGTAGTAATTTTGACTGCTTCATCAAGGACCATCTTAAGTGAAACTGGCTCTTATTTTTTATTTTAAATTAAAAAAAAATTTTTTTTTGAGACAGGGTCTTGCTCTATTGCTGGGGCTAGAGTGCAGTGGCATCATGATATTTCACAGCAACCTCAAACTCCTGGGCTCAAATAATCCTCCTGCCTCAGCCTCCTGAGTAACTGGGACTACAGGAGGACACCACTATGCTTAGCTGATTTGTTTTAATTTTGTGTAGAAGTAGGGTCTTTCTTGCTCAGGGCTGGTCTTAAACTCCTGGCCTCAAGTGATCCTCCTGTTTTGGCCTCCCCAATTTTTTTTTTTTAAAAACTGTGAGTATATGGTGGTTAAGAATACAATGACTACTAATACATTTTGATGCCACTGTGTCGGTTTGTGTTAAGGCTTTCCAGTTTGACCCATGATTGCTTTTGCACTATCAGTGCAAATGTCAACACAGTGGCAGAAAAAAACAAGTAGTGTTATTATGAAAATAGTTTTGACCTTATGGACCTCCTGAAAGACTCTCAAGAACCCATGGGAACCCATAGACCATACCTTGAGAACACTTTTAATGTGTTTTCTTGTCTTACTCAATAAAATATAAGGATATTTTAAGGAGAGGGATTCCATATAATTCAGTATCGAGTATCAGCAATGTATAAGGCATGGGTAGGTACCACTGACAAGGAGAGTTGACCAAAAAAAAAAAAAAATGGATATGAAACAGCTCCTTCCCTAAAAAAGTTAATAATTAACTTTAAAGGTCAAATGAAATTACCAGTCTAAGCAACATGAAAGCTAAAGGCAGTAGTACTACAGGATAAGGAGTACAGGAAGCGCTAATAAGTATTTTAGACTTAAGACTTCCGGAAATGAGATTATTACTAAATTGCCTTTTTTTTTTTTTTTTTTTTTTTTTTGAGACAGTCTCACTGTGTTACCGGGGCTAGAGTGCTGTGGCGTCAGCCTCGCTCACAGCAACCTCACACTCCTGGGCTCAGGCAATCCTTCTTCAGCCTCCCAAGTAGCTGAGACTACAAGCATGCACCACCATGTCCGGCTAATTTTTTATATATATATTTGTAGTTGTCCAGCTGATTTCCTTCTATTTTTTTAGTAGAGATGGGGGTCTCGCTCTTGCTCAGCCTGGTCTGGAACTCCCAAGCTCAAACAGTCCGCCCACATCAGCCTCCCAGAGTGCTAGAATTACAAGTGTGAGCCACCATACCCGGCCTAAATTGCTTTTAATTTACAAATATATATTGGTTATTGGCTCTAATTTTATTGATTTCTAATTCAGTCTCAGAGTGTGGCATGTAAGAGATTGGTTCTTTGATATTAAGACTTGAATTTTAGATTCTTACAGAACTAGTTTTTATAAAAGTCTAACATGTACTTGAAAAGAATGTTCATTCTTTAATTGTAGGAAGCAGCGTTCGTTCTCTCTGCATTAAATCAGTCTTGTTTATTGTGCTGTTTAAATCTTGCACATCCTTATTAACTTTTGAACTACTTAATCTGTCAATTTCAGAGAGGTATATTAAAAATTTCCACCAATTATGGATTTGTCCATTTTTCTTGCTAGTTCTGTTAGTTTACATTATATACTTTCAGTTTAATTGTTAAATACATACAGGCTCAGGATTGTTATTTTTTCCTGTTGACTTGTTCTTTTTCATTTTACATCTAATAATCGTAGTCCACTGGTTTTTAACAGTAGTTTGCAGTCACAGTTTATCTTTGTTCTATTGGGAGGTATGTAACGAAAGTCTTACATATGCTGGCATGGCTGAAGAAATGAAGATGGGACTCTCGTTGGGAGTCTCTCGATTAGAATGGCCATCAACTAAGGGTGGAATCACCTTCTCTGAGGGAAAAGGAAAAACGGTATCAAAGCAAAGTAGTGCTTTGCCCCATTTCTTCACCTTGTTTTTGGTCCTGTTATTTACTTGGATTTTCAAAAAGCATAGCTGTGGAACATGAGATTTTATGTTCATTTTTGGAAATGGATTTTAAAAGACTGAGAAATACTATTCTGAGGCTAAAACCATTTTGAGAGAAAAAGAAGAAAAAAATTTTTTTCTTTCCAAAGTTTTATTTAGAAAAGAGTGACAGTGCTAAGTGAAATATTTCTAAGCCAAGAACAAACCTATTTAGGGCCCTAGGAATAAAACTGAAGTATTTAAGGGGTATTTTCTGGTAGAACTTAAGCATACAAAGTCCTAGAAATGGTCATCTAGCTCAGTGGTTCTCAGCCAGGGATAATTCTCCCCCACCCCCCGGGGCATTTGGGAATATCTGTAGACATTTTTGATTGTCACAACAAGTTCAGGGGTCCTACTGGCATCTGGAGGATAGAAACCAGGATACTGCTAAACATTGTGCAGGACAGACCCCCATGACAAAGAATTATCCTGTCCAAAATGTCAGTGGCACCACTGTTGAGAAACCCTTCTCTGACCCAGCCCCAGGAAGGAGACAGAACTTACCTCCTGTCCTGTGCAGTCACTAGTGGGAAACCCAGGAAGAGTGGATATTCCAGCCCAGGGTCTTCTCTAGTCTCTGCGTCCCCATACAGAGAGTACACATGTGGACGTAAATGATACCTAACAAATACCTAATCTGTGGTGTTGGCTTGCCAGTGGTAAAGTGGTGGGGAAGGGCAGGGTGTGGAACTTGACCTGATTTTTATGCAAACAGAAGAATGAATATGCCCGTTTTCTTCTAGGAAATTGTTTACTACAGCGGGCAGCCGGAGCAGGAAATGAGGCAGCAGCTCTTTTCCTGGCAACCAATGGTGCCCATGTCAACCACAGAAACAAGTGGGTAAGTGTGACAGGGCAGCCAGGGGAAATGGTTTTGATCTGTGGAAAAAATGACAGTGGTAGATGGGCAGGAACAAATGGAAGATTCTTTTTTCCAACTTTTGTCAAAATTATACGTGTATATGGTTTAAAAACTAGAGTGAAACGTATTCTTTTATGTATGCTCAAATATTGGTTGACTGATGCATTCAGTAACCATTTCCTAAGCATTTGTTGTATATAAATCCCTGGACTCAGTACTATGGACTTTATAGTCTAGTAGAGATTAGCAAACGTGCACATGTGCACAAACCTACCATAGTAGCATCTTGATTCTTTATAACACTTCACATTTGCTGAGGTCATCCTATGTGAATGCTCGTTTATGAGTCTGTTGCCAGCTTACAAGGTAGAATGCACAGTGTTCTGCTTAAAAGCATGGCCTTTGGGGTTGGATGTCATTACTGGGTTTACCAGCTTTCCCATTTTTTCCCTATGTGGTCTTAGGCACATTACTTAATTAATGTTTCTGAGCTTCAGTGTCCTCATCTATAAAATGGGGTTAATACTGATTTCGTAGGGTGTGGTTAAGATGAAATGATTTATTTAAGTGTTTATTAGCATAATATCTGGGACATTAGATACTAAATGATAGTTATTTTTACTTTATTATTTTCAAACAAGGAGGATGTGCTTATCTTTAAGATCACATTTATTTTACAACTACTTTGTGCTAGGAACTTTAAGGACATTATTATCCCTTTTAATTCTCACAGTGGACCTGAAAGCAGCATGTATTGCTAGGATTGAAAAGACCGTCTCCACATCTATAAATCCCTCGTTTCAGGGTAAAGGACCTTGAGGTTCAGAGATGTTAAGTGGCTTATAAATAATGAAGCCAGTATTAGGACTCAGGTACTAGGATGTATAGTTGCACACTCTTTCAACAGCCCTAGGCAAGGAATCTGCTATCTGAGACATACTAATGTATCTTGGAAGCACAGGAGAGAGGGCAGGGCCATCCTTTCCACCATTAAATCTGTTAATCTGTCTGCACATGGCCTGCTCTCCAGCTAGGATGATGGAATGTCCCTGTACTCACTAGAGACTAGTTTCTTTTTTTGGGCTCTGCATCTCATCCCCTCTGACCTTCTTAATGACTTTGCTTCTACACTCGTGTCTCTGTTTTGCTTTCTCCTGCATCATTAGTTTTGCCTACTATTCATTTCTAAGAGCACAGAAACATGCTCTATTATCTCCTACCTTTAAAAAATCCTCCTTTGATCACATACTGTCTACCAGATGTTGTTTCTTCTCTGATACCCTTCATAGTAAAACTGGGTAAAACCTAAGATGTAGAAGTGCAGGGGAAAGTTGACTTGGAAGCAGGTGAGAGCTACACTGGAGAAGGGCCTGGAATGCCGGTTTAGGTGTCTGGGCTTTATCCTGTGGGAAGAGAAGATCCATAGAAGAGTTTTGGGCCGAAGAGCAGAGCGATCATTTCAGAGTTGAGAAAGCTGCCTGGGATGGCTGGCATGGTAGGTGTGCCGTCGAGTCTGGCTGGACCCAGGTTGGGATCATCTAGACAAGCAACAACCTGTCCTGACCTCTCATATTAGATTTGGATCCTTAAGGGACAGGTTTCAGAGGAATTGCAGAATTACAGTCAACAGGACATGTATGCTTATGGTGCCCAGAAGCGAGGGCAAAGAAAGTATTAAACCTGTTGTCATGTACCCAGGAAAAAAAAGAGGGAAGTAACCAGGAGGATGAACTGTATGGAGAGAGTAAATTCCATTGCAATTGTTGAATTTATTTCTAAATGTTAAGGCAAGGTTGTCTAGCAGGCAGTGGGGAAATTGGATGCAAAAGCAGGGCTGGAGATGTGGGTTTGAGAGTCTCTCGCTTGTAGATAATGGTAGAAGCCTTGGAAGTAGATAAGCACACCCAGTGAGAACTGTAGGAAGAAGGGCTGGAGCAGAACTTAGCCCTGAGGAGGAGGATGGACTCGGGAGGGCTCTCGCCACAATTACAGTATCGCTCAAGGGGAAGGTGTGGAGTGGGAAGGTGCATGTGTAGGTCAAGGAGGAAAAGCACTCGATCCTTACTTGCTACTGTGGCAAGTCCCACACATAATGTCCCAAGCTGGAAAATCAAGAGGTGGCAGTAACAACATGTTAAAAATATGGAGATTTACACAAACCCAACTGAAAGAGTTAAAAGTAGTTCCCTCTGGGAGAGGAGAATTTTTTGAGGGAAAGGAGGAGGTGGAATCTTGCTGTTTTTCACAACAAGCCTTGTAGAGTTCTTGACTCTTTAAATGATGATGATGTATAACTTTGATAAGAATAGGGTATAGAGCGCTATGTTCCATTTGTTTCCATTTGTTCGGGTGAAACAAATCCAGTGTGTGTGTGTGCACACAAATATACGTCTACCTGTGAGTACATGCATATGTGTGTGTGTTTTCCTGTGAATGTTCTGTCTCTGGAGAGAAATGTGAAACTGTAATAATGGTTCCTTTAGGAGAGGATAATTGGGTGTTGGGGGCCAGGTATGAGAGGAGACTTTTTTTCACTATATATTTTTATACCTTTTGAATATTGAATCAGGTACCTATAATACCAATTTAAAATGGTTTTTTTTTTTTTTTGAGACAGAATCTCACTCTGTTGCCCGGAGTAGAGTGCCGTGGCGTCAGCGTAGCTCACAGCAACCTCAAACTCCTGGGCTCAAGCAATCCTTCTCCCTCAGCCTCCCAAGTAGCTGGGACTACAGGCATGCGCCACCATGCCCGGCTAATTTTTTCTATATACATTTTTAGTTGTCCAAATAATTTCTTTCTATTTTTAGTAGAGACAGGGTCTCGCTCTTGCTCAGGCTGGTCTCGAACTCCTGACCTTGAGCAATCCACCCGCCTCAGCCTCCCAGAGTGCTAGGATTACAGGTGTGAGCCACCGCGCCAACCTAAAATGTTTTTAATTTTTAAAAATGGAGTAAGAAGGTCTTGATCAAGAGTTCAAGGTAAGGTTGATAGGAGCAGGTCACAGAAACAAGGTGTGCGAGTGGGGAGTTAAAGAGAAGCGATGGTCACACTGTTAACACTGCTTATCTCAGACGCTGTGACTGTTAGGCCCTCCCATTTTCTACAGTGTTTATTTTGGTGACACTTATAAGCTGTTGTCATTGTTTTGACATTATAAGCATGTATTATTTTTATAATTAGAAAAATAATAATTCTAAAAACAAAGTGAAGGGTGGTTAAAGAGGTCATAGGAGGTGAAGAAGTTGGGAAGCCAGAGCTTTTGGAAGGTACTTGGGGAAAACATTGAAAAAACTATGGGTGATGGCTCAGGAGAAAGAGGACAAAAGTCACAGAATCAGCTGGTGACAGGATGAGCCAAGGGCTGTGACTGGCACTGGGGACCTGAGTTTCAGCACTTATGCAGTCATTCTTCCTTTGTGAAGGGAACTCTTATCCTGAAGGTGCTCAGCTTTGGGCCATTTATTTCCATGCAGGGAGAAACCCCACTGCACACAGCTTGTCGGCATGGCCTGGCCAACCTTACCACAGAGCTTCTGCAGCAAGGTGCCAACCCAAATCTGCAGACAGAAGAAGCTCTGCCTTTGCCAAAGGAGCCTGCATCCCTACCTAGCTCAGCGGACAGTGTCTGTCTGCAGACGCCTCTGCACATGGCAATTGCCTATAATCATCCAGATGTGGTGTCTGTCATTCTGGAGCAGAAAGGTAGGTAGTTAGGAATACTGCCCATCAATTTGACTTGTGGACAGTAGTTTTGGGTAGTTAATTACAGAGTTGATGTGTCTTCTATTCTTTGCACAGCCAATTTCGTACCGAAAAAATCCTTTCAGGTCAAACTAGATAAGCATATAGTCTGGATCTTTACTCCGTGTGTTTCCTCGTGTATGTTTCCAGGATGGGGCCTGCTCATTTCACCTGTTAGGTTAAGGTGTTAGATCCTTTGATTCTGCTGTCTCTTATTCTGGGGTATATTTCCAGGACATTTCAGTGTAGGTCAAGCCAAGCTTTGCCTTGGTGTGAGCACTGTCTTTGAGCACTCTGCTGCGGCAGGTCCTCCGTGAGCTAGCTGGTCAGTCCTTCATCTGTCTCTGAGCATCTCTGGCAGGTGACCCCTGACAGAGGACCCAGGGGAGGTCCCTGCAGTGAAGAAGTCCCATTTCTCATAGAAAGTTCTTCTCAGGTTTACTCTTTCCTATCATGAAATTTGTTTTACTCTTGCCTCAATCCTTGTAAGGTCTGCATTTAAAAAAAAAATTTTTTTTTAATATATTTTATTTTATTTTTTAGAGACAGGGTCTTGCTCTGTCACCTAGGCTGGAGTGCAGTCGTCCGATCCTAATTTGTTATGACCTTGCACTCCTGGGATCAAGCAATCCTCCCACCTCAGCCTCCCAAGTAGCTAGAACTATAGGTGCAGACTACCATGCCTGGCTGTTTTTTTTAATTTTTTGTAGAGATGAGGTCTTCCTATGTTGCCCAGGTTGGCCTTGAACTCTTGGCCTCAAGCATTTTTCCTGCCTCAGCCTTCCAGAGTTCTAGGATTATAGGCATAAGCCACTGCACCTAGCAAGGCCAGCATTTTTTAGCATTGTGCTTCTGGAGGGAAGTGGGGTTAGGTAGAATGTGCCTAGAAGTTTAAAGACTGTAGGAATTGTGTTTTAGGAAAACATCGTCAGGGTGTTGTTTTAACCCTCTTTTTAGTAATCAAGTAATTAAGGTGTGTTTCCATAGTAGAGTCTTACTTTCCTTATGTGAAGAGTCATTGTTTTAAGCTTTTAAAAGATTATTTTACCCATAAGCTTTGCTCTAAAATGCCATATTTCTGGGCTTCTACTTCTCACAGGAAGATTTATCTGTTCTCCTTGTATAGCCAGTCAGTTTGAAACTGAGTTTTTATTCTCTTGAGTGCTTTAAATGTGATCCGTGGGATAGTGAAATCAAGTGTTCTTTTCCTTTTAAAAAAAAATTAGCCAATGCTCTTCATGCCACCAACAACTTGCAAATTATTCCGGACTTCAGCCTCAAAGATTCCCGAGACCAGACTGTGCTGGGCCTGGCATTGTGGACTGGTAAGGCTAGTTGATGTGTGCAGGCAAACAGATGTCAGAAAGGAAGGTGGGTGGGGAGCGAGGGGAGGGAGAAAAGCGGGGCTAATCATTTGGTTGTAAAATAAGCTTTCCGTTTGTGTTAAGCCTGTAATATTCAGTGGAAAACTGCTGGCTTTGAGAAGTTGAGGGTATGTTTGAGAAGAAGAGGGTATGTTTATTGTAGTAAGATATTGAGGAAGTGGGAAAAGCTGAGCATGCATTAAAATCAGGGCTTGTTTGTTTTGCAGGCATGCACACAATCGCAGCCCAGCTGCTGGGCTCTGGGGCTTCCATCAATGACACCATGTCAGATGGGCAGACCTTGCTGCACATGGCCATACAGCGGCAGGATAGCAAGAGTGCACTCTTTCTTCTGGAGCATCAGGCTGATATAAATGTCAGGTAGGATGAAACAGCACTCTCCACTGTAACACCAGGCCACACTTAGATATTTCAAAAGCATAGCTTTGCTTTTAGGAAAAAAAGTTTTTTTAATTAAATGAAGGAAGGGAAATAATGGCTCTAAGAAAGTACAAATGCAGTGTTGTAACCGAATGCAATCAGGAGACTCGTGTGATGGAGAAGGGGAACTGTGCTTTGCTCTTGTTTGAACCTTGCGGTACCAGTGCACAGATCTCATTAAAAAGGACAATCCAAAATCAATTTTTAACTAGGAATTTCAGTTATAATGAAGAACATCCCAACAAATGAGCTACCAACAAAGCTTTGGGGGGCGGGAGGAGGAAAGACACAGAATCAAATTTTTATTATGATTGTATTCTCAAAAGAACTTATCTTTAATCTCCAAGTGACTGACTGGGGGAAAGAAGGGTTTTGTCAAGTGGGTAGTTGGGGAAGCATTTTATTAAGATGCTTTTAAAAGCAACTGTATTCCTATAAATTTCAACATGTTGGGATGTTGGTCAGTTACTGTCTAAGTACAAAAGGGTGGCATAGCTATATTTTCTACAAAGGCAGAGGGACAGGCAATATTGACAGATTAATTTCCCTGAGAAAACACTAATGAACGTGAATGAAAGAATACAGTAGATTCTGGGCTCTGGAATGTCCCGGAGGCACGCTTTATCCTTTAGCTCCAGTTACAAATGTTGGTTCTGGTGTGTGTGTCCTCGCAGGACTCAGGACGGGGAGACAGCCCTTCAGCTGGCCATCAGAAACCAGCTTCCTCTTGTGGTTGATGCCATATGCACCCGAGGAGCTGACATGTCCGTGCCAGATGAGAAGGGAAACCCCCCACTGTGGCTCGCATTGGCAAACAGTTTGGAGGACATTGCATCCACTCTGGTGAGACAATCACAACTTTAGCCTATGTTTATAGATGGGGATATTTTGTGTCAGAGATGGATTTGGTGCCTACATAGCCATCACAGGAGCAAGAGATCTGACAAGTAATTGGGTCAAGGACAAGCAGTTGAATATCATGTTAAGGAAACTTACAGTTCAACATCATCTTGTCCAGCACTTTTGTTTTTAGGCTGTCTTTACCAAGAAAGCTACCAAGAAGCAAGAGAGTGGAGGCACTTCCTGAGGAGACTTCTCGTGGGGTGGGTTAATTTGATACGGGCTGCCCTCACCATCACCATAGTGATAAATTCCCAAATCTCAGGTTTATCTACCTTGTTTGCAAAACAGGCCCCAAAAGTGGAGGTAAACCTGGAAATTCTCATTTAAGTCTCTGAAGGCCTGCAGTGTGACATTAAGGCATTTTGCACCTTGAGGTTTTCCCCAGTTGTTATTGAGCTTGCCTGTTAATGGATCTAATGATATACATAGAGCTCAGACTTGGTAACAAAAATGTTTGCCTTTATTCACCAGTGTTTGAGAGTAACCTGTGTTTTTCTGCAGGTCAGACATGGTTGCGATGCCACTTGCTGGGGCCCAGGACCTAGTGGGTGCCTTCAGACACTCCTGCACAGAGCCATTGATGAAAACAATGAGTCTACTGCCTGCTTCCTTATTCGCAGGTCTGAGAAGCCTCAGCACCTCTTGAAATCTTATTCAGCTTATTGCAAACTGGCTCTTTTCTTATTTTAATCCACCTACACTCTTGACATGCCTGTAACTGGCTTGATTTTCATAATTAAAACTATCAGAGGATCACTGTTCTGGCATTTAAAGTCAGACAAGGGCCAGGCTCGCTTGTGAGGGGGGGAGGAGCTTACACACCTGGATTAAGGAATCTAAAAGCTGAGCCAGCATCCTGCTTCAGGAGCCATACGGGCTCCTATAGTCATGTCAGACCAGTTCACACCATGAAGCCAAGAGGGCTGCGGTGGAGGAGACCAAATGTCCTCATAGGGCCCCACCAAGATGCGTGGGCCATTACAGCCTCCACAGCCTTCTCAGTGCATGGAATATGTGGGAGCCAGGGCAGTTCAGGAAACCTTTAGAGCTGTGGTTCTCAAACTTTAAATGTGTGCACAACCCCTGGGGAGCTTTTAAAAATTCTGATGCCCAGGTTGCCCCCAAGACCAACTGCAGAAGAGTCTATAGGAGTGGGACCCAGACTCTAGTATTTGAGGCTAAGGACCTAGAAAGCAGATCCTGGCAGCAGCAGCTTTTTTGTTGGATTGGATGAAGCTGCTGCTATACATTTATCAGCACGCTTATAGGCTAGGTGGAAGCATGGCCTTCCTTCTATTTCCCCATTCCTTTCAGTGGCTGTGATGTGAATAGTCCCAGACAACCAGGTGCTAACGGAGAAGGAGAAGAAGAGGCTAGAGATGGGCAGACCCCTTTGCATTTGGCAGCCTCTTGGGGGCTGGAAGAGACAGTACAGTGTCTTCTGGAGTTTGGTGCCAATGTAAATGCACAGGTGCGTAGTTTCTCTTTTCCAGGGAAATAGATGGTAGCCCCAGAATTATGGAAATCTCTTATGTCAAGGGACCTTGCAGATTCCGTGGTCCCAGTTCTCTGCTTTACTATGAATAAGGCTGTGCTAGGACAGATAAAAAGTGATTTTCTCTGAGTCATACAGCCTGCCTTGAAATTTAATGATTTCAGGTTAACAACTTTTCTTCTCTGTGCCTTTGTCTTTAGTACAGCATGAGGAAGATTTGTTTTATCTATTTTTCTTTGCCTCCTATTCCCCCTTAGTTATAGATGCCCATTGAGAGTCTGGTTTAGTCCCAAACTGAGTACTGTGTTTAGGAAAACGTTCCAGTAGCTCAAATGAGCACCCCAGAGTTGTATTCCTTCATGCTTTTCAACGTTCTAGCCCATGAAGACTTATGTACAATGCCCTGTAAGATAAGGAGTGGTATAACTGACAGCCGTGATCGACTACAGATGTTCTAAAACAAGCATTTGGCTGCAGGTGTTCTAAACAAAATGTGGTTGTGCTGGACCCACTGTCACCACTGGGTCACTGGACAGTGGTGTAACAGGGAGTGGCTTTCAGCCATTTCTGTGTTTGGCCTGTTTAAAAGCTGAGTCAAACACAGGGTGGTAGCATTGATTCTCATAACCAAAATTTGATTTAAAATTTATCCCCCTTCATATTTTTCTTAAGTTTTATCATCTTTCAGTTGGACATTGAAATCTGTGCCTTGCACCATAGGATGCAGAAGGAAGAACGCCCATCCACGTGGCCATCAGCAACCAACACGGTGTCATCATTCAGTTGTTGATTTCTCACCCTGATATCCACTTGAATGTACGAGACAGACAAGGGCTAACCCCGTTTGCCTGTGCCATGACTTACAAGAACAACAAGGCCGCTGAGGCCATCCTAAAACGAGAGTCTGGGGCTGCTGAACAGGTGGGTGACCCCGACCCAACGTTCTCCACGTTGCCCTGTGCACAATAGAACCTGTTACGTGGAGACTTCACATCTTCTATGTAGAGACATTTGTTTTGAAATTATACTCCCTTTTCTTAAAATCTGGCTATTCAGATGCCCTGCCAGTGCAGGTTTAGCTTTGGCTGCTCCACTCTGTGTGTCAGCCCTGGTGGTGCCATGCTTATGGGAGTGGAGGTTACTGGGCTCTGCAGTAGGAACACCTGGGCTTTTGCTTGGTTAATTGCCCTAGTAATGAATGTCTTAAAAAGATTTAAAATGAACTTGGGGAGCTTCTGTTGTGATATTGGGGCAACTTTCTGAATATTTCAGAGGAATGAAGTTGTTACTCAGCTTAGCAGGCTTGGTTGTCCTGTTCTTTGTGGTTCTTTACCAGCTGCTAAATCTGGACGGTGAATTGTTGATTGGCAACAACAGATTGGGTGGGAAGCAACAGTAACAAGTGATCCGAGATGGAGCAGGGATGGGTTGTCAAGTCGGTCTTAGTGAAACTTGACTCTCCAGCCAGCACTTAGAATACTGCTAAGATTTATAAATAGCCATTTATTAAGGTGAAGTGGAAACTTGAGACCTGCGTGAAATGAAATCCTAGCATGATTGAAGATTACTGCTTGGTATTCCAGGCTTCTGCATATAAACTGTCTTCAGCATTTTTGTCAGTGCGACTAGACTGTATAGGTGTTAACCTCACACATGTTCAGTTAGTGCAAAATGTTCATGAGTGGAGATAGTCATCTCACATCTCCTCTCTAGCTGTTATGAAACTCTACTGTTAATCAGAGCCCTTTGCAGATACTTTGTTGTTACACTAGCACATACTAGGGACACATATGTGAGATAATGTGTGTAGCACTGGCATCTCCCTTACCTGCACCCAAGCACCCAAGCACTCACGCTGATGGCGGCTCTTGTAACTACAGTATTCTGCACAGTTTGATTTCAGTGAGCTTTGTCTGCCTTACGTTAGTAAAGAAAAGTCTGTGACTTGCTGTTGGCTGCCCCCCCATTGTGTATTATCCTGTAGCTTAGTAAAAGAGGAAACTGCACATTTCTGAAACCTTTGCTTGATTGCTCGGGGGTTAGGCAGGCATTACAGCTGTGGTGTTAGGATGCTGAGTGCTTGTTTTAGCCAAAGCAAAGAGACTGCCAAGGCTAATCTCCACCTTTGCCTCTCCCTGAGCATCCCAATATTTTGGTGCCTTCCTTTCCCTGTTCTGCAGGTTGTCTCTCTTGGCTTTCCCACATCCAGTTCCTGCTACAGGAGGATGCCAGGGCAGCTTAGATCAGTGTAGTGGTTCCCTTCCCCTGACCATGTGGATGTGACCACGCACATATGGTCACGGGCACAAACGCAGAGTGGGTCTGTTCCGTGGATGGTGGGGGGACAGCATTTACTGTCGGTTCTTGGGAGGGAGTTTCCTGGAACCACAGGAAGGTCTATGTCATGACTTCTCCAGTGGTCAGTACAGCTTGCAGATGCTCAGGGCATGCTTTTAAAAGGGGGCCCACTGATATTTTGGTTCCCACTTCTTGTTGTAGGTGGATAACAAGGGTCGGAATTTTCTTCACGTGGCAGTTCAGAACTCCGACATTGAAAGCGTCCTGTTCCTGATCAGTGTCCAGGCTAATGTGAACTCCAGAGTCCAGGATGCTTCCAAGTTGACCCCTTTGCACCTCGCTGTCCAAGCAGGCTCAGAGATGATTGTCCGCAATTTGGTAAGTGACACAGAAACATTATTGCACGTAACATGTGGACAAAGCATGTTGCAGAGTATGTGCAGAATCACTCATCACCAGTGCTTGGCCAGGTATTGCGAAAGGCCAGTGTGAATCTGGGGAGTGAGGCCAGCACGCTCAGGAAGACAGGCGTGTCAAGGAGCTGCATGTCCTAGGTGCCCAGTGGACTGTGTGGGCTGCAGGGCAAGGCAGGCGCCAGAGTGGGGCCCTGAAGGAGGGCAGGATTTAGGTGGCAGAGGCAGGTGGGAGCACAAAGGGAGTGGAGCTCTACTTCTGATGCCTGTCTGCTCTCTGTCAGGCATTCAACTGGGACTGTTTTTTTTTTTTTTTCACTGAAAAAAAGGGGCGGCTGAGGGCATCCTTCAGGAATGCCCTGGGGTGGGCCTGTTGGCGGGCCGCCCCTCCCTGAGGACCTGTGCGTGAGGAGCCCGATGGTGACACTTGGGACTTTGAAGTGAGCTATCTCTTAATTCTCAAAACCACAGAGGGTGTATGAAATTTTTACATTTTATAAAGGGGGAAATTTAGACTCAGAAGGGCTTTTTTCTTCCCCCGAGGCTATCAGGTGGTAGTGTGGGATTTTAGTCTTTCTGTTTGGCTCCAAATCCTGCTTTTTCCAGTATAACATAATGCCACCCAGGGAGGGGAAGGTCTGAGAAAAGATGTGGAGACTGATTAAGTGCATGTGGCATGTTTTATATAGGAAAGTTTGGCTGAAATCTGAGTAGAGAGTTTTAGATGTGGTTGGAGAGGCAGGCAGAGACCAGATGGTGGGGTGTCAAATTTCAAACCAAGAACTGTGGGCAGCCTTTATCTTTTAGGCAGTGGAGAAACCACTGCATGTGTTTGGGCTGAGAGAACACGGCCAAAAACTGAGACGGGGCTCCATATGACCTGGCCTGCTCCTCCGAGCTGGCTGTCACTGGTGCCTTCCATCAGCCCTAGGCACACACTGCAGAACTGGCCACGAGGTGCTTGACCAGTCTTTGGTGCCCTGGTGATTTTGTTCTTGAAAAATTCTTTTTTTAAAAAAGATTTTTTGTTTTTCCTTTTTTTGTAGAGATAAGGTCTCAGCTGTGTTGCCCAGGCTGGTCTCAAACTCCTGGCCTCAAGTGATCCTCCTGCTTTAGCCTCCCAAAGTGCTGGGATTATAGGCATGAGCCACAGTGCCCAGCCTGAAAAACACTTTTTAGAAAAACCTTTATGGCTTGGTATGTATTTGAGCTGACAGAGCATTTAAAGAAGATGCCTTCCAGCCTAAGCAAGAATGAGACACCCCATCTCTACTAAAAATAGAAAAATTAGCCAGGTGTCATGGTGTGTGTGGTGGTGTGCACCTGTAGTCCCAGCTACTCGGGAGGGTGAGGCAAGAGGATCGCTTGAGCCCAGGAGTTTGAGGCTGCTGTGAGCTACAGTGACGCCACTGCACTCTACCAATGGTGACATAGTGAGACTCTGTCTTAAAAAAAAAAAAAAGATGCCTTGGGGCCGAGGCGTATGGATGTGGGAGCGATCACCAGTGAAGACACCTAGGGGAGGCAGTGGCAGTGAGGGATGGCATGGAGAAGGACTGAGGAGGTGGGTCTGATGGTTCCAGGCACACACTGGTCATGGGACAAGCAGCCAAGGGGCTGGAGAAGGGCCTTGGAGTTGTAGGGAATCAGGCCTCGTGTTCATCAGTCTTTCTGCTTCCTGAGAGCCTAGGGAGGTTTGAGGTCATTTATAAGGTTCATGCTCCTGCCTTACTAAGGCCTGATCTCACAGGTGATAGAAGTGCCTAGAAACAGCTGATCTTCCAAACAATGTCCATGCGTTCCTTCCTCTTTGAATTGGTGCAGCATTATGTTTGAACCTGTTTACTGAACTGAAACAATGCCTTACCCACCTCTCTCCTTCCCCCTACTTAGCCAACATTGGGGTTAGCTACAATCCTTAGAACAGCACTAGTGATCATGACTATCCCTCTATGAGATCTCCTGTCTGGTGTGTCCCATATCCACTCACGATATGTCTCATCTGTGAGTAATTTGACTGCGTGCGCAGAATTCTGGGGAGGCTGGGACTTAGAAGTTAGGGCCAGAACCAGAGCAGCTAACCGGTGCTTAGACTCTCCCGGAGGCAGGTGTCTGTACACACAGATGGGGAACCAGGGGTAACCTCAAGCCTCAGGAGAGGCACACTGGGCTGTGACTAAACTACAGAGCATTTTTTGTTAACAGCAGCTGTCTTTAAAACTATCAGAAAGAGGACAATGAATGAACTTCAAATACTATATAAATAAACAAGATATTATTTAAAGGTCCTTCCTACCTTTGATTCTGTATTTCTTTGTGCTCTTTTAAAAAATAATGTAAAATAGTATGTGCTCATTGTGGAAAAACTTAAAGCACATAAGGATATAAAATAGATAGTATCTCCCTTTCATTCCCAGCTCTCCTCTGAGTTTGGTATATGCTTTTAAACACCTTGAGAGTGTGTGTATGTTTGTGTGTGTGTGTGTGTGTGCGTGTGTGTGTGTGTGTGTGTGTGTGTGCGCGCACATGTGTATGTGTAGACACAGCTCTTTCTCTGTCTCCAGATGGAATCATAATTATCTTCTGACTTGCAGGGTTTTTAAAAACTTACTATATCATTGACATCTTTCCATGTTAATCCATAAATATTTATCATCTTAAAGGCTACCTATTCTATTGTTTGTATATGTTATAATTTTTATACACAAACCCTTCTTGCCATCAGGTTTTACTATTATAAGCAGTGGACATCCTTATATAATACAGTGAACATCACTACAGTCCTGGGCAGTTTTCATATGCTAAAGTTTTAGAAGTAGAATTTCTGTGTCCCAAGGAATGTCTCTTTAACATTTTTTTTCTGAGACAAGGTCTCACTCTCTTGCCTGGGCTAGAGTGCAGTGGCGTCATCATAGCTCACAGCAACCTCAAACTCCTGGGCTTAAGCGATCCTCCTGCCTCATCCTCCCGAGTAGTTGGGACTACAGACGCATGCCATGACACCTGGCTAATTTTTGTATTTTTTGTTGAGACAGGGTCTCACTACATTGTGCAGGCTGGTCTCAAATTGCTGATCTCAAGTGGTCCTCCCACCCCAGCTTCCCAGAGTGCTAGGATTACAGGCATGAGCCACCGCACCCGGCCTTGTTTAACATTTTGATAGAGAGTTGCTGGTTTGTCCTTGGCACAGGTTTTGCTGGTTTATGCTCACCACGAGTGTGTGTTAGGCCCTCATGCTCCAGATTTGTCATTAGGGCAGACTATCAGTCCCTGTGGATATCAGAAGACAGGTTTGCCCCCATAAGTGGGACCTTGATCGTGGTAGAGAGGCTGCTCATATAATCAACTTCAACAGCTTCTTGCAGGAGCCAAAGTGAATGAATTAACCAAGCATCGCCAGACTGCCCTCCATCTCGCTGCTCAGCAGGACCTGCCCACCATCTGCTCGGTCCTCCTGGAGAATGGAGTGGACTTTGGTGCTGTGGATGAGAATGGAAATAATGGTAATTCCTAGTCATTCCTCTGTGTACAGTGCTGAATGCCTCGAGCAATCCCCTCATTCTAGGGGTCAAGGTGCACTGGGTCCTTGGGTCTGTTCCCCCTTGGGGAGGTTGGCTTTTACAGGAGCAGAGTTGTGACAGAAAGTGGTCTGGGCAGGGCATCCGACCTGCTGCTGAGCAGGCCTTGGGCAGCCTCCTCATCTGATTGGTAGCCCTGGATGCCTAAAGTGACTTCTTGGGAAACTATTTGATCCCACCTTTAGATAACTGCGGAAACAGAGGCAGAGGCTCATGAGATTGCATTTGTGACTCTTTGGTGGGGGCGGTGAAGACCGGAAAGGATGGCTTGGTGCATGGCCAGTCGCTGCTGTGGCTGGGTCCCACTTATTGGGAGGTTTGTGAGAGTAAGGAAGGAGTGGAGATTTTTCTGTGTGTGCCCCTGGGCCTGCACAGTAAGAGGATTTACTCCCCAGCTCTTCATCTCGCTGTCATGCATGGTCGGCTCAACAACATCCGGGTTCTCCTGACAGAGTGCACAGTGGACGCTGAAGCTTTTAATCTGAGGTGAGTATGTGTGGTCAAAGCAGGGACCAGGGCTCCATGCCACCTGGCCTGCCACTTAGAGCTAGTGGTCACTGGTGCCTCCTATCGTCCCTCAGGTGTACACTGCAGAACTGGCTGCTGGGGCACTGGAACAGTTTTTGGTCCCCTGCTATTTTTGTTTTTATAAGAACTCCTTTTTAGGTTGGGCATGGTGGCTCACACCTGTAATCCTAGCACATCGGGAGGCCGAGGCGGAAGATGGCTTGAGGCCAGAGGTTTGAGATCAGCCTGAGCAAGAACAAGACCACGTCTCTATAAAAAATAGAAAAATTAGCTGGGCATGGTGGCAGGTGCCTATAGTTCCAGCTACTCGGGAGGCTGAGGCAGGAGGATGGCTTGAGCCCGGGAGTTTGAAGTTGTAGTGAGCTATGATGACACCACTGCAGTCTAGCCTGGGCAACAGAGTGAGACCCTGTCTCAAAACAAAAACCCAAAAAACTACTTTTTAGAAAAACTTTTGTGACCTGTTATGTATTCTTTAGGTTATCCAGGATCGCAGAGTTTAGAAAATTCCATTTCTTTTGTGTATGATGGCCTTGGCAGATACATAGCTAACTTTTCCAACTTGCTTTATCAGAGGTCAGTCACCACTGCATATTTTGGGACAGTATGGCAAAGAGAATGCAGCGGCCATCTTTGATCTCTTCTTAGAGTGCATGCCCGAGTATCCTTTAGATAAACCAGATGCAGAAGGCAACACAGGTATGTAAAAAGGTGTCTGTATGTCCTATCTCTCTTACACACCTTGCTTTCTGGAAAAATAAAAGCCCAGGCACTCATGTCATTATCGGAGGGCATTCAGCTCAAGGCATTTTGGCTGGGCTCTCTTGACCATCTGCCATGAATCCCCGTGGTGTAATTTGGAGTATCATTTAGGCATAATGACATCTGAAGTATATCTAGTGCTCCAGAGTCATACTCGTGTCCAAACAGTCTGCCTACCTGTTTTTATTTCCCTTTTATCTGGCCAACTATGGCCCTACCCAAGCTCCTAAATTCCGGCAGAGATATAAAATATAAGCACCTCACAGGCTTCAGAAGGAGGAAATGTGCTACAGTATATGCTGACGTGCTTTGAAAAAGTGGCAAATTATATACAGATACATGGGACACCTTCTTATCAAGAGGATTAATAAATAGCCCTCCTGTGGTTCACTGTGGCTACCCACTATCACTGTGTTCATTTGTGTAGCTTTCATAGCTTTTTGACGTATTTTTGCATTCATTTTCTTGTTGAATTCTCACAACAATCCCATAAGGTAAGCAGAGTACATAGATATAGCCCTGTTTTTCAGGTAAGGAAACAAAGACTCAAGAAAAACCAGAATGAAAACCAGATCTCTCATCCCTGCCCAGAGCTCTCTGAGCAGCTTTGTTGCTGCTGCATTCCCATTCATGCACCCTTACACCGGAGCTTCTATGGCCTTTGGCAGAAACGCAGTCACCATGGGGTACTCTGAACCTTAGCTTGGGACCAAATATTTTGTCACCAGTTCTTGGCCTTGGAAAGAGGTCTTGGCCTTGATACATGAATGTGTTTTTGAAGCTGGCAGGGATGGGTCTGAGTCTCAGAGGAGTCAGCCCTTAGGGGTGAGCTGCTGGCCCACTATCTACTCACTGCGGGTCATTGCCAGGAGCAGGTGAGCAGACAGGCAGAGGGGCTTCATGTCTAGGCTTCTGATTTACAGAGACCTGGGTTCACATGCCTAGCTCTGTCCTATCCTAGCATGGTGACTAGGTAGATTTTCTACCCTCTCTATGCCTGTTTCCTCATTCGATAATGAAAATAATAACCCTCATCTTATTGGATGATTGTGAGAGTTAAATGAAAGAATTTAAATAAATCGTCTGGTAAAGGTAAGTGAAGAGGAGCTGCTGTTAGCTGTAATTATTGGTGGGGAAGGCCAGCAGGATGGCCTGGCCAGAGCCTGGGTTCCACTGGGTCTGCCCCTGCAGAGAGGAGAGGCTCCATGGGGCAGAACAACTTTCTGGAGTATATTCCCCATGCTGATTTTTTTCTTCTCCTTGTGTATACAACTCATAGGTCTTTAGATGCAGTTACATTATGTGAAAAGATCTTTGTCCTCTGTGGTAAGACCATTGTTTCGTGCCAGAGGAAGGCAATTGAGACAACAGTATATTTTCCTTCGGTGTTGGATCCCTACCTACCTGTATTACCTCCTTGTCTTGTAGCCACAGCTCTACATGGGAAAGACTGTGTCTCTGGAACTGTAGCTACTCTAGAATCCTTGGCTTGTGGCCAGATCCCTTATTGGATGGGGCTGCCGATCCTCTATGGAGGTCTTATCCGGGGCCCCTATGCGTCTGTGGGGACTTTCCAAACAAATGTCCTGCCAGCCATCTGTCTGCGTTCAGCTGTCCTCTGCCCACCCTTTGGCAGTGCCAGGCTGGGGCCAGGTGGGAAGTAGCCCTGAATTTTTGTTTTCCAGTGTTTTCCTACCTGCGTTTTTGTTTTCCAGTGCTGCTCTTAGCATACATGAAAGGGAATGCCAACTTGTGCCGCGCCATCGTCAGATCTGGGGCTCGGCTTGGGGTGAATAATAACCAAGGCATCAACATTTTCAACTACCAGGTTGCCACCAAGCAACTTCTGTTTAGACTATTAGGTGAGTGGCCTACCTTTGCTCTTTCAGTGCAAGCATTGTTACAATGTGGATTATCTAGATGTATCTGTGATCTTTAAATCTGACAATGGCTTCCTGGACCATCTCAATCAGTAGTTTTCCAGGCACCGTACGGGACTGTTTCTGTGAATGGGATGAAGGGCTTTGGAGCAGTGTTGGGAGGGTCACTGTTAGCCGTCTCTTTTCAAAATGCCCCATCTTGGAGCCCCTGTCAGATTCCTACTTGCCCTGAACCTTCCGGAAATCCACAAGCTCCAGGAAAGTCACCTCCCCGTCTCCTGGCTGTTAGGCCGATTCAGATTCCCTATAGTCTTCAAAATGGCCTTCCCCACTGACTCTTCCTTCTCTGTGTTCCTTTTGTGGAGAGAAGCGCTTCACTCTTCATAATTTCACGTTTGTGAGTCTGTATTCTTCCCCACTGAAGTGGCAGAAAGAGCGAGAATGCCTTGAGTGCCTGCGTGTGCCTGTGCTGTGTCATCACCCACAGTGGAGACAGACAGGCAGAGAAACAAGCTCAAAAATACTTGGTAGCTATGTGATCTCGGTGCAGGTTGCTTGCCCAAGGTCACAAAGCTAGTTTGTGGCATCTAGTCTACTTTAATTTTCCCTATGCCATGCACTTGTTTGACCTATTTTTTTTCTTTTTTATGGTTTTTTCAGTACATAGCGAGGTTTAAGGTCAGTCTTGTAGGAGCTCAGCACTGGTGCCCGTCACAGTGCTGGCGTGTATAAGGTGCTCGGAAGTGACTGATTCATGTGCCCCTTCCCATGAGCTCGGTCTGCTTCTCCGTGTGGAGCTGTCAGAACAGTGCCTGGCAGAGTCAGAGTTCAATAAATAAATCCTGTGATTGTTGTTCTTGTCTACACTGATAAATCCCAACCTAAATGTGAACCCTGAACTCTATAAAAAAGAGCTCTAGTTCTTTCTTGTAGGTCTTTTCTCTGCCAGTGGTCTCACCACAGACTCAGGCACTCCATCCAGAAGCTTTTGTCTCCTTCCTGCTCCCTGCTGCCTCCTCATATCCCACACTTCTGTTCAGTCACCAGATCTGACAGATTCTGCCTCCTCAGTGTCCCTTATCTTGGTCCATCCTCCATGTTCCCCTGACCATTTGGCCCCGGCCAGCGTTTCTAGCTGTGTGGCCTCTGCTCCCTCCCAACCATCCGTTACTCTCCCCAGCCCTCCCTGACTGCATGTATTTCCCCCACAGACACTGTGCTTGTTCACGACCTTAACACTGTTTCCCTTCCCCGCAGTCTGTCTGGCCAATACTGATTCTCCATGGTCTCGTCTGTGAGGCTTTTCCTGAGCCAGTTAGAATGTATTGCTCCTTCATCCTTCATGTCACGCTGCAGCGTGTTGCCGTATTGACCAGTCTGTTTCCCTGCTCCCTCTAAGCTCCGAGTTACGCCTGGCACAGTCACTATTTGACAGGAACTGGTCTTACCCTGCGTGTGTTACAGATATGCTGTCCAAGGAGCCTCCGTGGTGCGATGGCTCCAACTGCTACGAGTGCACTGCCAAGTTTGGAGTCACAACTCGCAAACATCACTGGTAAGACCCCCATCGGCACTTGCCAGAGGAGCGAGGGGACTTCTGCTGATGTTATTGCTTCTCCCCTTTTCCACGATAAGCCATGAGCCTGCCAGGACCCTGCAGTCTTCTGGGCAAACCTTGACCAAATGGAGGGGTGAAATGACAGGCCGAGCACCCCCAGGGGTCCTAGTGAGGAATAGATATGCAAGAAGCACACAGACTGGTGGCTCTCCTGGTGGAAGCTGAGGGCGCACAGGTCCGAGGCAGCCTGCTAGGCCTTGTGTCATCTTTCCTGGGTCTCCTGCTTGCAGCAAAGCTGAGATGAGTTACTGCCCTCAGTGTGCCTGAGGATAGGCTGCTCTGCCAAGAACCAAGGAACTGTTCCCATTAAAGCAAGACAGTTCTTTTGCTGCTCTTGATCTTTTAAAAAGAAAAGGCCTTCTTCAGTATCACTTTAATTATTGGCTAGAATTTTGTTTTAATAGACTAAAAGTTATACATGAATTATTGTAACTTGGCTGGCAGGTGGCAGAGTTGACCGTAGAATACTAGTCACGGGCTGGCCTTGCCGGCCAAGGGCACTATTGTGGCTGTACTCGCGAGCCAGGAAACAGCCTGCTCTTTAGTATTCCTCTCATCCTTCCTTTTTTTGCTTCCACAGTCGACACTGCGGACGTCTTCTTTGCCATAAATGCTCGACCAAGGAGATTCCTATTATAAAGTTTGACCTGAACAAGCCTGTGCGAGTTTGCAACATTTGCTTTGATGTACTGACTCTGGGTGGGGTCTCTTAGTGAGCCCCCAGGAGGGTCCAGGCCACTCCCCAGTCACCTCCCCAGCAGCTGCTCTGCTCACCAGCCCGCCCCCACCCAGAGCAGGAGCTGGCGGTCGTCTTCCTGCAGCAATAGACTGGAACAATTAAGGACCATGATGTGATAGGTCCCATTTCAAATGATTCCATATGGTTGTGTGTGTCAGACTGTGATCGATTTCACTAGATGTCTCACTAATTGGAACAGGCCACGTAGCCTAAGTGGTAAATGTGATTAGGAATTAGACCCCATTCTGCTAACAACATACAAGGACACTTGGAGAACCATTTTCCCTTCCGGTAGTTTAGTGTCCATCTCAGAGCATTCATGAAGTCTTCCTGCCTGGGCTGACTTACGAAGCAGAGCCTCACACAGTAGGAAGCTGGCTGCTTAACGAGAGCTGGCTTCACTCTAGGGGAAGTGGCTGTGTACTTTTCTGCACAGCGTTTTCATAAAGATAATAGGATCCTCTTGCCCTGAAGTCTTTTTTTTTTTTTTTTTTAAGCTAAGCTGTATTTTTAGTGAGCTACCCCTTTTAAAAAGGTGAAATCTTTCTAAACAGGGTTCAAAGATGAGAGCTGAAAAATCGTGGCCTTAACAACTGAAAGCTTTACCAGTGTTCATGCTACTGAGGTGTCAGGAGTGCAGTTTGGCAGCTGACACCTCCTAGCAGCCGTCTCATTCTCTCGTCTTGCTGCGTCCTGTCTGTAGAGTCCTCAGTCACTCTGCCACTAGAGAGTAGTGGAGAAAATGCACTTTTATTGTGCTGCACTTTTTATATAGCTGCATTATTGGTGATTCCAATTTAAAAATCCATATTCAAAAATACCCTCACACATCCTTGCATCAGTGATTCTAGTGATCAGCTATGACTGGATCTCAGCTCACACTAATCTTAAAGGAAAAACTACAGAGTGTCTTTTAGAGCAGGCGAGTCATACAGGCCATCTGATAAGGGGACTCAGTAAGGCTTCAGCCCCTGGGCATCTCCAGCCTCAGGACGGCAGGTCCTATCTCCTTGACACGAATGCTTCTTGCTGAAACCTTTTCCTAGTCATGCTGTGAGTGCCGTTGGCCCCATTTCTGTGTAGCTTGCCCTACCCCATAGGGGCCAACAGCCGAAGGCCCTGGCCAAGGGGGTGCAGCCCCGTCCTGGAAGGCTCTGGCTTGTGTGCTGAATGAGGCCGCCAGAACTCATGGGGCCTTAGTCGCTGCTAGTACACATATTAACCTTGAGGTGTTAAACTTCTTTTCTTTTTGAAGGTTTGGCCAGTTTTTTAAAAATGCACATTTAAAGAGAAACTTTTACCACTGCTTTTTAAAAAACAACTCTGAGATGAACAATATGTGTTACATAGTTATACTCAGAGATTAACAATCTCAATCATAACATACTGATTTTTCCAAACATCTTAATAACCACTACATATTTTGCATTAATGAAGTATGGATATATGTGTAAAAGGGACTAAATATTTTTTTTGCAACATCCTGTTTTTTTGTTTGTTTGTTTCTTTTTTGGATAGTCGTATGTCCTCTCTGTTGCTGTAGATTTATACATTCTACTGCCTACATATGTGTGTAAAACGAGCTGATAAACCGGAGTGCTACTTTTTTTAAAAATATTTCTGTGATTTATAAGATATATATGCTTCTATGTTAATATGAGCTTGTGCACAATGTTTAAAAGAAAACCTTAGAGAGTTCCCCTGTCCCCTAGTCTGTGACATATTTCATATAGAATTTTTATAGAAAAATCCAACTAGTCTTGGCAAACATTTGACCATGTGAGGCATGTGGTCAGTTTCCATTTTCTATTGCCTAAAAAGGGCCACGAGGAAGCAGGGCTGAGTTAGGTAGCTTGATTCTTTAATTAGAAAGTAAGATAATCATGGTTCAGGTAGGAATTGAGGTGGTCAGTACATCGATATGTGTTCTTTTAACGTCCATAGTGGAGAGAGGATGGGAATTCGATCAGGGCTGAGGCTGATTGTTCTGCCCTTGCCTACCATACCAATTTCAATCACAGTCTTACCTGTAATTGCTTTTAAAATCTTAAGATCGTGTTTAAAACATGTTGATTGAAGCTTGTTTCTTCACAAGAGTCCAGGGATGACAGTGGTACTGACCAGCCACGGATTGGGGGTACATTTTTTTAGTTCTACATTGGCTTCAGGGTGCATTCATGTAGATACAGAAAAAGCATCTTTCTAATCTTAGGAAATCTCTCTGACCACGCTGATGTTCACTGGGCTGCACTCAACAGGTTCTTTGAGTGGTAGCTGCCCTAGTAGGACTCCAACACACACACTGCCCTGGCCAGGGCGAGGCATGCTCTGAGTCCCTTTTGTGCTCTCCATGCTGTCAAGACTTGACGACAAAACTGCCTAGCTGTTCTTGTTAAATTTTAATCTATAGTTTAAGAACTAGTAGGAAAAACTTAATTTTATTCATTCAGAAAGTTGCCAATTGTGAATGAGTAGAGCAGGAAGAATAAACTTTACTGAAACATAATTTGCTGCATCAGTCAACCTTGTTATGCTGAATTAGCTTTTTAACTGCCTCTTACTCATCACCAGATGGATCGTTATACAGCGTATTCTCAACAGTCTTCTTTTTTGCTTTTAAGACGAAGGTACCATGTGCTATATATATTTTACATTGAATGGCTTAAACTAATTCGCTATGATCCTCTAACACAGAAATTTCCCACAAACTTAAGTGCCTACACTTAGGACTTTTTAACTTTCAGTTGTCTCTTTAGAGGTGTCTCACTGAATGATGTATTAGAACATGTGTTCCATTCAGAGTTCTGTGCCTGTGCACTGTCAACCCTAATTACAGATTTAGTTGAGGCTGGATTAGATTGCTCCGTTCACCTGCCACATTCTCTCCAAGGAGTGGGGTCCACGTGACCTTTAGTCCTCTACCTCAGCCCTGAGTCATCTCTGACCACCCTGTTCAGCTTCCTCAGTCTTCTCCCTGAATGGGTCCCTGCGCGGAGCTCAGTGTGCATGTGGTTTCACCACTCTTCCCAACTCATGCCCCAGCCTGTTGCATCGAACCATTACAGCACTAATCTTGTCTATGGGCACGGAGAGGAGGGAAAATGTTGGGAGAGGGGAGAGCCTTGAACTTCATCTAAGTTTCCTTTATCAGGAAAAAAACCCCACTTCTGAGCTATGTAATTTTTAGACCTGAAAAGCAAACTAACTTCCCAAGTGACAGTAGCATGAACAAGTAAATGTAATGCTTTCATGACAGACACACTTGCTTCCCTCAGGACAAGCCCCTCAAGAACTACCTGAAGCACCAAAGCTTCCTCCTCCCAGCCGGGAGAGGAGGAGGCAGAGGGAAAACAACTTGCCAAAGGGATTTGGAAGCCACATTCTCACTTTGTGGAAGTAACTCAGTGAAGAGCTAACAGTTTGACAAGACGTCAGCTAAACGCTTAAAATTCCCAGAAGTTATATATAGATGCCTTAAAGACTTTCTTTGGAAGATCATTACCTGTACAGTTCCTTTTTTGTGCGGCATAAATAATATATTAACCTGTTACAACTGAGGACGTTGGTTTTTTGCAGCTAGGGAGTTTTGAGTTGGGACTGCTCAACTTAATGACTTGCCCTCTTTTGGCAGATGTGTGAGTTGGCTGTTACAGGACATGCCTGTGTGATACCAAGGGGAAGGGCAGAAGGTGGGCAGAAACTGCAGGCACACATTTGGGTTGATCACCTTGGCTTCCAAACCATTTGCGGTGGTGCTCAGTGTGGGGTGATGGCATCATATAGGACCGTGGCGCTTATCAGCATTGTTTCTTTGGAGTCCGTGTAATGGAATGTATTTTTCAAATACTGATATTTGCATTTTCTGTAACAGTTCCTTATAATAAAATGAAGTAAAATTGTGCATTTAAAGTGGAAAATTTAATAAGACATTTGAAGTTACTTCTAATGCAGAGGTACCAATAAGCATTAAAAACAAACAAATTAAAAAACTCCTGACATGTGAATAAATTTCTTTAATAGCTACCCTCTAGGAAAGTTTGAATTCCAACATTTTTCAGAAATACACTGTTGACAGCAGTCAAAATGGGCTGTTTTCGGCAAACTGAGTAGCTATCTGAACTTACTGTGCTCTTGGCAACATGTGTGATCCCAGATGCACCAGCTCAGTCGCCTGGCCCCGCTCAAGTTCTCCAGAGGAGCCAGGAATTCCCTCCCTGACTCCATTTTTCAGGAGCAACTCAAGAGGATCCCCTCGTGAGCTTCCTGCTGGCCAAGGTGTGAAGAGAGGACTGGCACTGTGGGCTTTAAGGAATACTAAAGGAAGTTTAGGGTCTTGCAAATTAAAATCTAGTGATCCAAAGAGTCCCTGTACAAATCATACAAATCTAGCAGCTCACCTGGCCCTCACACTTTCTTGAACTAACTCTCTCTCATTACCTGGCTTCCATTTTGCTTACCCCTAGGTCAGACCAGCTGTGATGATACATCTCATTCTCTGGTGGCTTTTCTCTCATAGTCAGTGGGTACTGTTATGAGCTTCCACAACGATCCCAAGTAATCCCAGTAGCCACCCTTGAGGCGAGCAGTGTTAACCGTTCTGTCACTGGTTGTGCTATGTGTAGCACAAACAGTAACCAGGCTTACATTAACTTTCACGTTTTTGCCCAGCCAGGGAAAAACACTGGGTTTTTGTTCTGCTTTTTCATTGGCGGATACTACTGGGTAAGTTTCATAATTCTATGCCTTAGTTTCCCTATCTATACAGTGGAGGTGACGTGGTCCTTCCTGGCTCACAGGGTTGCCTGGAGGAAGGTAATCAGTAACATGTCCTTCCTTTGACCCAAGTACCCAGATTCTGGTGTGCACACCCAGGGCCTCTCTGAAGAGGGCTGATGGCAGCAATGTCTGCCACCCAATTGAAAGAATCAGTAGGACATGCTCTCAAGGGTGGGGTTCTGCCCAGGGTTGTCCTCCTCTGAGGAACATCTGCAGATTTCTGAGCAGGCACAGTCCCAACCTGCCCACAGGCCAGCTTGCAGAGCACAGCTTTGCCCCAGAGCAAAGCAAGCACAAGACCGGGCAGCGGTCTGGTAAGGTTCTCTTCGCCTTTTGGTTATGCTGCAGTTGAGCTGTGACCAAAACATCCCCAGACTCTTCACTATTCTGTGTTTCTTGAAAACTGGAATCTCAGAATTAAAAGGCAGATGTTGAGATTTCCTTCAAGATGCTGGAGGCAGCTGCCCACCCTGTGCTTGAACACCGTGCTCACTGGTGTGGCAGAGAGATCAGGCCTGGGTGAAACAACTCAGCTCTGTCACATGATGGGTGCTCTATTTGAAGAGGTGGAGGGATGTTTATGCCCCTTTTCTGGGCCATAAAATGGGAGCTTCTCAGGTTGGCACAGAGATTAGATGAGAACAAAGCACCTTGCACAGGGCCTGGCCCAGCAGAGTTGCCAAACACTGTTTGTGTATTTTCTTCTCCATTTCCCTCTGCCAGCAAGTCTAACTGTGTGCTCAGCCTGTGCTGAACTTTCTCGGCCTCCATCAGGGAGGGCTGCCCTGCTCCTCCACACTTTTGCCCAGGGCCGCCTCTCCTGGAGAGGGAAAGGAGAGGCATTTCTTCAGCAATTACCAGGTTCTCATGGCTGAGCCCTTTGGACCATTAAACTGACAATCCACTCTTGCTGAGTCCTTTGCCCTGACATGAGGGACACTCTTTACCAAAAGGTGAGTGGTCAGCATTGAGGAGGAAGTGAATTCTCACTGAGCAAGGAACTGCGCAGGCTTCTGAGGCAGCAGAGGTCGTCCTGGAACAGAGGTTCAGAGGTCTTTGCATCAATCAGAGATCTACGCATGGCCAAAGCCCACACCTGGCTGAAATGACGACGTGTATCTTGTTGTGTTCCTTTTTTGTTTTAGGAAGGGTCTGAACATCTCTGGACCTGGCCCTCATACTATCCCGGCATTGCTACCCCAAGAATTGGCCTCTGGGTGCCCTAACCAGGGGCTTCCTCCACCATACTGCAAGCCCCTTGAGATCAGGAGCCTCACTACCCATCCCCCACCCCAACATGATGCCTGGCACATAGCAGGTAGATATTTGTTGAATATTTTGGTCCTAGAGGAGGGCCAAAGCAGTGGCAGTGACTAGTTTGCAGTTAGCCTGGAGTTGAGGGCTGTTTCTGGTTAACAGAAGCCTCAGAAACTAAGCTCAAGAGCTGTCTGGAACTCAGAACAAGATCCTAATTTCAGCTCTCCTTTCTGTCTGTCCCTGCTCTGGGGAGGGCAGAGACAGATGTAAATATAGAGGAGTGAAGATAGCACTGAATCAGGGGTCAAGAACCTCGAGTTCTAGGCTCGGCTCCATTGTTCTGTGACTTTAAGTTCTATCGGCCTCAGTTGTCTCTCCAAAACTAAGAGCTAACTGTGCACTCAGGACATGCTAGGCACTGTGGATGCGGATCTCCGTCCTCAGAGTCTGAGGTCCAGTGCGAGAGGCTGATAGGGAATTCATGGTTAAAGCCACTGTGGTGTAAGTTCTTTTAGGGGTGAACACAGAGCTATGGGAACCTAGGGAAAGTGAAGGCTCCCAAGAGAGGAGTGATTGAGCTGAATATTGAAGAAATAAGAGGGACTAATGGAGCGGAGGAAGAGATGTCATTCCAGGCAGAAGAAACAGCTGGTGTGAAGGCCCTGCAGGCATGACGCAGTGAGAGGAAGGCTGCAGAGGAGGGTGCACGTGGGGGTGACAGACCAAAGAACAGCCTCCTGTGCCAAGCTGCTGAAGAGTTGGCACCCGGTCCTTCTAAGATCTGGGGAGGTTTAAGTGGGGAATGCCCTGATCAAGAAAGATGACTTACAGCAGTGTGGGGGAAGGATTGGAGGGAGTGTAGTTAGACTCCTGCAGTGAGCCAAGTGAGAAATGACAGCCTCAACCAGAGGAGTGCTGGGAACAGACGACAGAGAATGGAGAGGAGAGAATTAAAGAGGCAGAACTGCCAGGATTTGGAGATGGGCTGGGAGAATAGGAAGGGGTTGTGGATGATTGCTAGGATTCTCACTTGGTGCACTGAGTGTAGACGGCCGTGCCATTCACTTGGAGAACTAGAAGAAACACAGGAGGGGAGATGAAGATTGAATGCCAAAAATGTCGAGTGTGCGGTGCCTTCTAGAAGTGCTCTGGAAAGCAGCTTGCAGTAGAGACACAGGTGTGGCAGTCGAAGTGGTAGCTGAATTTGGAGTGAGAGGAGCTAATGGGACGGGGTTCACTGCGGCGAGGGGCTTTCAAGGAGACTGAGAAGGGATGGCCAGAAGGAGGAAAGGGAAAGCCGAACAAAGCCTAGTGAAGGTCTCATGACAGACGTCATGGTCGGCAGCGTCAAATGCCGCAGAGACAATAAGGTAGATAAGAATTGAGTGTGACCCTGGGAGTTGCCAATACGGAATCTACCCTGCTGTCGAGGATAGAAGGCCGCCGACTGCTGCACAGTGAACGGGGGCCGAACACCCCAGCCGGTGAGTATAAGCCCTTTTTTCAGAAGGCTTGGCTGGGATAGGAAGCAGATACGGTAGCTACAGAAAACGGGTTGAGGGGGAGAGTGTTTTACTTATGATGTGGGAGAAGTGAGCTGCTTAATGCACACTCAGGGGGAAGAGCCAGCAGGCAGGGAGAGGTTAAAGGTACGGGAGGGCAGGTGAGGAAGATCCTGGTGTGGCAAAAGAAGCTGCCGGCCAGAGCCCGGCTGTCAGGGACAGCTGTGGCCACAGGGCAGGGGGCCTCCATTTTCTACTCAGTGAATTTGGAAGGCTCTTTAGTGAGACTAATGATGGAGAGAGAAAGGAAGAGCAGAGAATATTCAGAGTAAGTGCTGAGGAGAGTGGGAGAGAGAGCTGAGGTGAGGGCTCAGAAGCGAAGCCAAGACCCTGCAGTCGCACCAGCCTCCGCTCCATCGTCTGCGAAGTGGAAACGCTCCTTCCTGCCATCCGCTTAACAAGTTAAGAAGTCAAGGGGTAATGAGCCGGGTATGGTGGCTCACACCTGAGGATCCCTTCAGCCCAGGGGTTCAAGACCAGCCTGGGCAACAGCAAGACCTGTTTCAAAAAAACTTTGATGTTATGCTAACCAGGTACCTCCTTAGAGCTGCGGAACTACCTTTTGCTCAAAATGCAGACTTCTCCATTTGAAAACACACCACACTTGATTCTACGTGTTTAAAGAAAAGTCTTTGCTCTAAATTGTTGCTTTGCTTAGACACGTGGATCGGCTGCATCCACATAAGCAAAAGTTTTTCATTGCCAGGATGAGCCTATCCTGTTTTATGATCACTTCTCGTACTGGCCCACCTGGAAGCAACTCAGGGCCTTTTGGTTGTAATTTCGAGTTTGCCTTAGGGTAGAGGCCTTACTTACAAGAAAGGTCATAAAAGTCAGGGGCCACAAGTTTAGCTCCAGAACAGACTTATATTGATGCTGCTAATTTATACGGCTTTTGGGGATGTGTCTGCTTGTTTCTGCTAAGAGCTGTGAGGGAACGATGTAGCGCCTTTCTGCCCGTGCTCCAAGTGCCCTGACAGGGTTGGAGTTACAGGCAGGGCCCACGCCGGCAGCTGATCCACGCAGCCTGGGAGTCCATGGGAAGGCAGCTGCTGGACCTCAGAGACTTTTTCTTTGTTTATCCAGTTACTTTGAGTCGGTCATAGCTGTGCCCGTTAACATCTGAGGGCTCGGAAGGAAGATGGCAAGTAGATACAGGGGAACAGTGGTAAAACAGGCTGACCAGTACTGGGCAGGTTGCAAGCTCTCCCTCAGTCACCAGCACGGCGAGCCCATGGTGAGGGAGCGTGAGCCACATTTGCAGAGCATGGCCAACGTCCTTCCAGACCCTCCTGTTTCATGCCAGGAGCCATCCTAGGGCCTATTCGAGTTTTGGGCAGGCCTTTTTGTGTGTTATCAACATGTAGGGCACCTGCTTAGAGTGGGAAGGAGCAGGTGATGGCTAGAGGTGGGCAGCCTGTGTATTCCCCTAAGCTGGGGTGGTCCAAGTCCCCTCGATTTCTGTGCGGGGGGCCGTCTGGCATCTGGTCACTAGGGGGGCCAGTTGTTCTCACACACACGCAGTGGGGCTCCTTGGCACCTGGCTTAAACAGCTTCCTGGGGACACCAATCCAGTCTCTGCTCACACCTCCGCTAAGGAGAGAAGGAAAGAGGACTTCTTAAAAGTGTGAGCTCATGAGTCTCTCCCTGAAGGGGAGAGTAGGAAGTAGTGAGCCAGGCCTTACAAAAAGTATAAGCATTCCTCTTCCTATCTTGGTATTTCCCCATGGCAGCAGTCTGCAGTGTTCGGTCCCCCAGCCTTCGTGCTCTGTCCTGCCTTCCTCCAGCTTCTCCTGCACGGCACCAGCACCGCCACCTTCAGGCCAAGGGAAGAGTCCCTTTCTAGGAGCAGCACCACTTCCCTGCATTGTGCTAACAGTTTTGAAGGGTTTCCCCCACGGGCCTGTGAGCTTCTCAGAAGCAGTGTCTGGGTCTGATTCCCTTCTCCCTTCCCCACGACATCCTAGCACAGGGGCGTGTCTTGATCTTAGGGTCTGGGGCACTTGAGAGGGGCTGGGCAATTGAGGTAACTACCCCTTTAGGGCTCATCGGGCCTTGGCCAGCTGGGTCAGCCTTCTCTGGGAGGCCCATGGCACAGGGTGTAGTTGCAAGCTGTCCCATCCCCTATACAGGTCCAGTCCTTGATGTCGCCAGGCTTCAGAGATGCAGGATTCAGCTCTGGCCCAACACAGCCTGAGCAACCTCCTATCGTAGGCAGAGGGACCTAACTCATTCTAGGGTACTGAGTTCAGTCTCTCATGGATTCACAGGCCTTGCAAAAGGAGAATGAGGTTCTTAGAATTGATGCCTTGTATGGGTTCCAGTGACTAGGACCAGGATCACCTGCTGTCAGAGAAACTGCCACCCAGTTAGAAACCATCCCACTTCTAGGTGACCAAGGATAAGGCACCAAAATGCCTCCCTCTTCCATCCCACCATCCATCCCATCATCAGTGATCCTTACTCCACCCCTGGTGTCTGCCTTGAAGCTCATTCCTCCTGTCTAATGGGAGATAGATATAAACACACACACAGAAAACAACAAACGGCTGAGGCAGAGGGATAGGGCCCCTAAGTTCATTGGGGGTGGGTGTGAAAGGACTTTGTGGGGAAGACAGGGCAACAACTCAGTCATGAAAGCAAGAAGCGTTCATCAGAGTGGAGGGCTGTGAGGGAGGGAGCAAAGCTAAGCATCGGCATGCACACAGGCCTCCTGGTACCCTTCTACAGAGCACCAGGCACTAGGGCCCCCTGCACTCAGGCTTGTGTCCCAGGAAGGTTCACCCATGTCCTAGCTCCTCCCCATGAGGTGGACAGGCCAGGTTCTCACAGCCCTCTTTCTTGAGACACAGTGACACTGGAGAAGCTGTGTCTCTTCAAGAAGAGGCTGTCCTTCCTGCTACTTTTGCCCCTTCTCCCCTGAATTAAGGCAGAAGAAATGTGTGAGAGATACGGTAGCTAGGCCTAGAGAAAGCTGGTGGTTTTGACTGTTTGCTCCTGTCCACACAATAAATCAGCCTCAAGGAGAACAGTGAGGTCGGCTTCTCCCTGTGGAAGAGGATGGGTCTGCACAGCACTTAGGGACGTGGCCCTTCTCCTCTCAGCGACGGTGGAGACTTCCCTGTCCCTCCTCAGTGAGAGCTGGGCTCTCACTTTCAGGCCCTGGAGGCTGAGAGGTTTGCCCAGTACTAGGAGGTTTGTCTAGTTTCTGGCTTCCTTCTTCCCCTTACCAGAGCTAAAGGAGGTTCGAGGGACTCAAGCTGAAGTTTGAGTCCAGGCTGGCCTGATGATTAAAGCAGGAAAACAGTCTCCAGCTTCCCAAACCAACCTGCAATAATCCCCATGGCACCATTTCTAAGCTGGCTCACCTCACTTCATTCTTCCAGGAAAGGACTTTTCCATCAGCCTGAACTTCCTGGAATTACTCAGAATTTGTGCGGTTTTTAAGACAGCACATGAGGGCAGCATCGCTGTGTGTACCCTCCTCCCTCCTCCCCCTGTAGGCAGGGATGGTTTGTGCTGACAAACAGGAAACTGAGGCCACAGATGGCTGAACAGGCCAAAGCAAGCAAGAAATGGGGCTTGTGCCTTCTTGTACCCAGGCCAGGGTTTCCTCAGCAGGGTCTCTGGGGAATTTGGGGGATGGAGAAAAAAAAAAAAAAGATGCCCAGGACTCAACCCTAATAATTCTCATTCACTTTTCTAGAGGTCCCACCATCAGTAATTTTTAAAATGCCCCAGAAGATTGAACATGAAGCCCAAGTTCAGAATCATTATCTATCACAGAGTATTTTTGAAAAAATTCCTCTGGGTTAACAATCAATTCTTGGATTCACTGAATAATGCAGACATGATGAGCTACAAGTTTGATTTGGGACAGAGGTGGGAAGGACCAGAAGGGAAGCCTGTTTACCTCTCTTGGGAGCACCAGAACCGGCTGCCCCTGGTTGAGCTCCACTCAGCATTGCACGGTGGAAACTTCTGCTTCTCTTTCAGTTCCTGTTTATTTGCCTCCAAGCCTTTGGTGATCATGGCTTCTACCTGCATCAGTTCTGGGGTAGGCAGTCCATCCTCTCTGTAGAACCTTCCTGTCACCTTCCCTGTGGGGACAGGAACATGGATGTCAGAGTGACAGTGGGACTGAGGCATGAACAGATACTTAGCTTCTTAAGCAGTTGCAGTAAAGCTCAAGTTCTAGGGTTTCTGACTTCAGGGCCCTACACTAGTGTGCTGGTGCTTTTATTAAGAATTCATATTGGTGCCTTCAATCCAAACTTCTCTCAACATCTTACAAGACCCCAGGTAGTAGCTGCTATCCCTGTTCTAGCTTAAGAGTCCTCCAGTATGGAAACTTCCAGACAGCGCTTCCCTGAGAGTAGAGCCACGTGTGATTCATTTATCAATGCTGCACAGTGCTTGGGGCACACAGTAGGTATTCAACAAATGTATGATGAATGAATAGCTTATTGGCTAACATGTTTATGGCTTAATTCTTCCTAAAGTCAAATTATTTTGTCTTATATAACTATAAATAAGTCATTTATTGAGCATTTGCTCAGTGTTAGGCACTATGCTAGCACTTTACCATTATTTTTTAATCCTTGTAACAACCTATGAGGGAAAAATCATCGTTCGAATATTCACAGGAGAGAGGTTGGGAAGTTAAACAACTTAGGGAAGTCTACTAAGCTTGTCAGTTAACTGGCTCCAAGCCGATGCTCTCCCCTCTACCACTCTCCTTTGGCTCATTCAGTGGACATAAGTGAATGGAAACTGCTTTTCCTGTAAATGCCTGTCAGAATTTTTAAAATTCTAAGCTATGGCAGCAGCCAGCAAGGGGTCCATTAGCCTGTAGGCCAGGACCAAAAAGGGATCAGTTTTTAGGTGCAGGGACTTAGTGTATCCAAGTCCTGAGGTACAAAGGACCTTCGCAGGCAGCACCTGCCACAGAGCAAGAGAAGCTGCAGAAAGCTTTTCTGGGAGGTTTGACTAATAGGAGGTAGCAGTGCGTACCAGCCCCAGCGTGTGGGTCCAACCTCTGCCATCCCAAAGACATTCGGTGTGTCCAAGATTCAATTCATGCTCTTAAGTCCAGCTTCCTCCCCGACTTTCCCAAATCTGTGTCACCTCCGGCCTCTGTTATCTAGATTGGGAGTCTGGGAGCTCTCCCACTCCTCGTCCGCATCCATGTGCGCACCTCCCGTCATTCACGTCTAACCCGTAGCAAATCTCGTCAGCCCTACCTCTAAGAAAGATCTTGATGGTTCATTCCTCTCCATGTCCATGGCTACCACCCCAATCCAAACTATGGACCACAATAGCCTCCCACCTGGCTTCTCTGCTCGCGCCTTCTTACAGTTCTTTCTCCACAAAGTAGCGGCGGTGATCTTTTGAAGACATGAATTGTATCATGTCACTTCCATGCCTGATTTATCATCCTCTGATGGCTTCCTAAAGCATACAGATAAAATGAAAATTTCTTATCAAGGCCTCTAAGGCCCTATAACCACTTGACTTCTGTTTGCTCTTAAACCCCTTGTCAAGCCACTTCCTCCCTCATCCCCTAGAGGCTCCCGCACACTGGTTTCCTTTCTAGTTCTCAACCATGCCTCGCTGCTCCCCACCTTAGGCACTGCTCTTCCCTTTGCCTGGAATACTCTTTCTCAGGTCTCAGTACAGCTACCTCCTTCTCACCTGCCAGGTCTTAGCTTAACTGTCATCTCCTCCAAGGAGCTTCCCCTGACCACGTGCCCTAAAGCTGCCATGCACCCCCAAGCACACCTCACACCAGTTTTAATCACAGCCCTGTCTAGAGTTGTCTGGTCTGTTTTCTTGTTTATGACATGTCTCTCCCCCAGTGTGAGGCCCAGTGTTCAAAACAGCTTAGCACAGAGCACTCATTTTAAATACTTGTTAGATGAATAAAGGAAGGGATCAGGGCCCTACTCATAGGCCTGCGGTAGACGAGCTGGCCTGGCACAGAATTTTCCGCTATAGGAGGGCTCTGTATAAGTCTGTCTTGGTGACTTTTAGACATGAGACCCAAAGAGAGGCCAGTAGTAGTAGAGTCAACAGAGAAAGTTCTAGAAGCTGTGTCACGAGGTCATCACTGACTGGTTGTGCTGTGGTTACAGCCAATTCTGTAACCACAGCACAACAAAAGCCATCTCGTTTTCCCTTGAGGCCTGCCCATGTGGCTGCCAAGAGGGCTTCCTGACTGTCCTTAACTTTGGTGTGCACCCTGACGATAAACCTTCACCCTTGACATGTTCTGGGGGTTTCTGGTGACCTGAAAGAGCCTAACACAGTCCCTATTGCACAGAATGAGCTAACAGAGGGCAGGAACTGTACTCAAATCATCCCTGGTCCCCATGAGGACTAGAACCCTAACTTATCAATAGCACATATTCAAATATATCCTGATTTTAACTAAAATCCTTCCAAGGCATTTCCAACCATAAGCCCCCCATCCTCAACACATTACCCATTGTTCAAATGAGACTACATCAGGAATACTTCCAGTTTGCTCCCCAAATCTCAGTAGGAACTGTTTGGTCTGGCATTCTTTGCCCACTCATAGGATCCCATTTTTTTTTTTTTTTGAGACAGAGTCTCACTCTGTTGCCTGGGCGAGAGTGCTGTGGCACCAACCTAGCTCACAGCAACTTCAAACTCCTGGGCTCAAGCGATCCTTCTGCCTCAGCCTCCCGAGTAGCTGGGACTACAGGCTTGCGCCACCAGGCCAGGCTAATTTTTTCTGTATATTTTTAGTTGTCCAGCTAATTTCTTTCTATTTTTTTTTTTTAGTAGAGACGAGGTCTCGCTCTTGCTCAACAGGATCCCATTCTCATGCTTTTGTGTTGGGTTTTCTTTTCTTTATTAACCCAGTAATATTTCAACCTTGGTTTGACAACCTTGTGGGGAAAAGGAAGAACCTGGCCCTCTGAGGCCCATATGGGCAGAGGTCAGTGCCTTGATGGTAGACACAGCTGTGGTCTCAGGAATGATCTGGGGCAGACTGAGGGAAAACAAAGAAAGGCGTGTTGCAGGTTGGAATGACAAAGGCCAACAGTGGGGTGGAGGGAGCAGAGGTATTAGTAAAAATGCCTAGATTCTCAGAAAAGGTAACCCAAGCAGTAATGACAGAAGCAGACGTCGAGAGGCATTGGAGGCAGGGAAAAAAAGAATTCTTCTAATTCAGACCTGTTGCAATGGTGAATGACATGGTGTTCCTCAGGAAGTTAGTCGCATCCAAGTGGGGCTCCAGTGAGAGGTGAGGGCTACGATGGAAAAGAGGACCCAACCATCCCAGTTTTCAGTGCTTGCAAAGCAATCTAGTGTTTAGTGTCTTTTTTTTTTTTTTTTGAGACAAGAGTCTCCCTCTGTTGCCCAGGCTAGAGTGCTGTGGTGTCAGCCTAGCTCACAGCAACCTCAAACTCCTGGGCTCAAGCGATCCTCTTGCCTCAGCCCCCGAGTAGCTGGGACTACAGGGACACACCACCATGCCCGGCTAATTTTTTCCATTTTTAGTTGCCCAGCTAATTTTTTCTATTTTTTGTAGAGATGGAGTCTTGCTCTTGCTCAGGCTGGTCTCGAACTCCTGACCTCAAGCAAACTTTCCACCTCAGCCTCCCAGAGTGCTAGGATTACAGATGTGAGCCACCATGCCCAGGCCTAGTGTCTTTAATAATACCTTAGAACACTGTCTTCCCATTGAAGAGGCAAGTCCCTCCTGTATCACAAGTGGCAAGCACTTGTACCCTACACAGTGGCTTTAACAAATGTTTGATTAGCGTAACTACTACCTGGAACACTGTTCACTGAGGATGTTTGTCTCCTTAGAAGACAGAATAAAAGGGGATTTTTCAAAATAGCACACAAATATAGGTTTTAAGCCTTCCGGGCTGTGTGCTGATGCCAGATGCCTAGAACATGGTGAGACAGGGAAGCTGCCCTCCTGGAGCTGGTTGTTCAAGGATAGTGTAGGCAACCTGTGGCTTTGGTACAACTAAGGCCAAAGCAAGTGGCTTAGTAATCCTCTCCCAAGATTAAGAGTGAGGGACACAGGTGCCCCATTCATCTCCTTCTGGGGCTCACTGCTACACTAACAAACAGAGTTTAAAAAGTCTGAAAAAATCCAAGGCTATTTTTCAGATTTTAACCTTGAGCTGAATCCCTAAAGAATCCCAACCCCTTAAAAAAATTGCGAGACAACCAAATGAAATCTATGGAAACGACCTGTGGACTACCTACCGACAAATACATAATTCTTCTCATAGAATGAAAGCCAGTTGTGAAGTGTCAGCATCTCAGAGAAGGACAAGTCAGATACATCATCCACAAGGCCTGCTTCAGAGTAGTCCCCGGTCACAAACGCTCTGGATGCATCTCGGCCTGCAGGAGAGAAGTTTCCATCAGATTATGTTGTAAATCACCGACACTGTATCAACTCAAGAATCTGTTTTCCGAGAAAAATCTCCTAACAACCCCTACTCCCCATCCCCAGGGAAATCTGATCCCCCCTTCCTTGGTGGCAGAAGCTCCTGGACCTTGGACACACATCTCTTTGGCATTTGTCACATTCTTTCATTTACTTTCTCCAACAGTTAACACAGCTGACCACTTCCTTTGGCTTGCATGACACTACGCTCCTGGTTTTCCTCCTACCTCTCTAGCTCCTGGTGGTCTACTAGCCTAAGGGGTCAATTACTGTCCACCACCTCTGTTCCATCCACACACTCTCACCTGACAATCTTCCCCATGCCTGTGGTTTCAAATCCCACCTACATGCCAAAGACAGCGAAATCCTTATCTCAGACTTCTCCTGAGCATTAGACCTATATATCCAACTGTCTATTCAACATCACTTAGATGTCTTACACACATCACGAGTTCAAAATATCCACCCTGAACAATGATAGTTAGCACCCCCATCCCCAGGAAGCTTGATTCTACTCTACTATTCCTTATTTCAATAAATGTCAACCAGTTGCTCAATCCAGAATTGCAGTTCTTGCCACTTCCTTCATACCTCACATCCAATCAGTCTCCAAGTCCTATCTTTCCTTCCGAAATAGTTCTTGTATCAGTCTGCCTGTCTCCACCTATTACTAAGCAAGCCCAGGTGGCCATCATCTCTCATCTGAATGACTACAGTAGATTTACCCCAGGAGATCTTCCCACATCCATTCTTGCCCCACTAATCTATTCTCCATATAACACTTAACTGATATTTTAAACACAAATTGATCATGTCATTTCCCTGCCAAAAAGTCCTCAGTGGCTTCCCTTTGCCTTATGATAATGTTAGAACTCCTTAACATGTCATTCAGTGCCCTGCACTAGCTGCCACCAACCTTGCCTTGCCACTTTCTTCATTGTTCACTGCGCTGCCTTCCTCTCTCTCCTCCTCCCTGACTAGATTAGGGCCTCTGGTAATACCAGTACCTTTTCCTCTTAACACTTGTCACAAAAATAATTCATTAATTGTTTGTGTGCTAGCTACTGAATGTCTACTAGTAAGTTTTATCAGTGGAGAGAACACACTATTAACTCTTGCTAGAATCATTTAGTATTGATTCCCCAGTGTCCGATCTTTTAGTAAATTCCCAATAAATATTGGCTGAATGAAATCCATACATTTACAGCCAGTTTATTCCAGCCAATTGATTTTTCAACAAGAGTGCCAAGACAATTCAATGATGGAAAGAAAAATCTTTTCAAACAATGGTGCTGGGACAAATGAATGGCTGAATTGGACCCCTACCTCACACCATACACAAAACTTAACTCAAAATAGATCAATGACCTGAATGTATCAGCTGAAACTATAAAATGCTTAAATGAAAACACAGGTATGAATCTCTATGACCTTGGGTTGGACAATGGTTTCTTAGGGCACCAAAAGCACGAACAACCAAATAAAAAATGGATAAATTGGACTTGTTCAAAATTAAAAACTTTTGCACATCAAAGGGACCAATCAAGAAAGTGAAAAGATAATCAACAGAATGGGAGAAAATATTTGCAAATCAAATATCTGATAAGGGTCCAGTATCCGGAATATGTAAAGAACTCTTACAACTCAACTACAAAAAGACAACCCAGTTAAATAATGGACAAAGGGCTGAGCATGGTGGTTCATGCCTGTAATTCTAGCACTCTGGGAGGCCGAGGTGGGAGGATTGCTTGAACTCAGTTGTTCAAGACCAGCCTGAGCAAGAGTAAGACGCTGCCTCTACTAAAAATAGAAAAATTAGCCAGGCTGGCCAGACATCGTGGTACACACCAGCAATACCAGCTACTTGGGAGGCTGAGGCAAGAGAATCACTTGAGCCCAGGAGTTTGAGGTTGCAGTGAACTACAATGATGCCACTGCACTCTACCCAAGGCAATAGAGCAAGATTCTGCTTCAAAAAAAAAAAAAAAAAACAAACCACAAAGGATTTAAATATACATTCCTCCAAAGAAGACATACAAATGGTCAACAAGCACATGAAAAGATGCTCAACATCATTAGGCATTAGAGAAATACAAACAATCAAAACCACAATGAGATACAGGTTGAGCATCCCTTATCTGAAATGCCTGGGACCAGAAGTGTTTAGGATTTTGGACTATTTGCAGTAGACTATACGTACCGGTTGAGCATCCCTGATCCGAAAATCCGAAATCCAAAATGCTCCAATAAGCATTTCCTTTGAGCATCATGTTGGTGCTCAAAAAGATTCAGATTTTGGACTTCAAATTTTCAGATTAGGGATACTCAACTTGTATCATTTCAAACACATTAATAAGTTTTGGTGAGGATGTGGAGAAACTGGAACTCTAATACATTACTGGTGAGAACATACAACTTTAGAAAACAATTTGGCAGGCTGGGCCTGGTGACTCATGCCAGTAGTCCCAGCACTTTAGGAGACAAAGGCAGAAGGATCGCTTGAGCCCAGAAGTTTAAGGCTGCAGTGAGCTATGATCACACCACTGTATTCCATCCTAGGCAACAGAGTGAGACCTTGTCTCTAAAAAAATAAAGAAAAAACAAACAAACAATTTGGCACTTTCCCAAAAAGTTAAACATAATGTTACTGAATGGCCCAAGAATTCCACTCCTAGGTATATATCCCAAGAGAACTGAAAACATGTTCACTCAAAAACGTATACACAGATATTCATAGCAGTATTATTTATAATAGGCAAAAAGTGGAGAAAAACCCAAAGTCCATCAACCCATAAATAGATAAAATGTGGTGTATCTATACAATGGAATATTATTCAGCCATAAAAAGGAATAAAATACTGATACATGTTGATATACCATGGATGAACCTTGAAAACATTAAGTGAAAGAAGCCAGACACAAAAGGCTACATGTAAGATTCTGTTTATACAAAATGCCCAGAATAGGCAAATCTATAGAAATGGAAACTAGCGGTTGCCAGAGATTAGAGGGAGAAGGGAATCGGAAGTGAGCTGGAGTTTCTTTTTGGGGTGATGATAATATTCTGGAACTAGATAGTGGTGATGTTTCCACAAATTTCTGACAGTATTAAAAGCCACTGAATTGCATAAAAGGACTGATTTTATATTACGTGAATTATATCTCAATAAAAAACTATTGACTGAATTAATCAGTAAATGAACACATCTGCTTCCCTACTAGTCTGTGTGGGTCGTGGGGTGTATATTATAGACAACTCTGATTCCTTAGCACCTGACACAAGGTAGGACACGTGGTAGTGGTCAATAGATGCTGAATGCAGTAGAGCACACTGCAAAAGATAAACCACCCCAGAAATGGAAGGCATTATGTCCACACTTGTGCATACGTGTGTGACAGCTGCATCAGCATGTGGCAAGACAGTGCACCAAAAAGTACCCTCAACTTGCAGGTACAAAAGTCCTTGCTTTCAGTCCCAGCTCCATTTCTAACTCACAGTGTAGCCCTGGGTAAGTCCCTGCCCCTGCTGGACTGTTTCAGGAGCTTGGCAAGACCAACTGCACTTAATTCCTTTTCTGTGAATGCTTCTATTTCTGAAGTTCTCCCTGGAGAGAGGGAAGTGACTTGCACTGAAGTGCCAGAGGCAGCTTCCCAATTTCCCAAAGAAAATGACAAGTGGAAGAAAATGTTTATTTAATATCAGCCTAGTCACTGGCCTCAGGCATGCTCTGTATTTTTTTTTTTCTTTTTACATCTGGGAGGTGGTCAGTCTGTGGGACTAGCAGGGCAACATCTCTAAAAGTACTAGGGTGGTGGTCCTGGTCCATGTCCTGTCAGTACTTAGTTGTGAGGGCTTTAGCCAAATCACATTCTTCAATACCCTCAGCTGTAAAATGGGGATAGCAGAACAAGCTTAATTTAATAAATGTTCTTTGAGGCCTAATATACACACAGCTTTGCTCTAAGTACTGAAGGACGGAAAAGGTGACTAGACTCCTTTCCTGTGCTCTAACCTCATCTTTTTTCAGAAAGGCAGACAGGTAGGTACATCTGTACCAGAAACAAGGACTACTCAAAAACCAAATGTACTATTTTTTAGGGGTAACTTGGGGGTAGAGTGGGGGAAGAAAGGTTACTTCAGACTGGGGCATAAAGAAGGGATGGTTGGAATTAGCAGGGTAACTGTGAGGGCAGGGACAGGGTCTTACTCATTTTTGTGCCCTGAGAAACGCACGGGAGTCAGGTATCCCAGGCTTCTGATGGTGGGAATGCATAACTAACAACAGGCAGAAGACATGTTTCCCCAAGTTAGTGAAAGGGGTGGCCTTGCAGAAATAACAGGAAAATACCTAATCCCACAATTTCTCCCGTAACATTTAAAGACCAATCCTATGAGTTGTTTCACTAACAGGTACCCTGCAGGAGTTCTGTTTTGCACGGCTGCTGAAAACAGCTGCATGGACAGAAAAGAGATGTAAATCTCTCTCTTTCAAAATTGTTTTTTGAGAATCTGCTTTTACAGTGTTCCTGAGTAAATAGCAGGAGAACGAGCTCAAGGCCTCAACCATATCTCGAGCGCAGAGTCACATCTCCTGTGATAATCTCTTCTCCAAGAAAGGCAGGAAACCAAGTCTTGGACTTTGACATCCTGCTGCCGCTTCTGTTATCAACTGACAGCCATCACTTTTCCCCCTCTTCTTCCCCCTTAAAATCAGCAAGCCACTTGGCCTCACAGCTGGCATTCCCATCTTTTTTTGGGATTCCACGCCATCTCCCTGCTCTCTTCCCCACCCCTCCTTCACTCTTTTTCCTCTAGGAAGGTAAAATAAAATTTACGTTTATATATATTAATCTCTGAATGAGAAATCTTTCACCACCCGTGCCATGAGCACCTACTAGGTTTTCCACCCTAACAATAGGTTACGCAGAGCTGTGGGGAACGATAGGGAGGGTAGAGGTAGATAATAGTTGGCCATATCCCACCTGCCGCGCTCGTCTGAGGAGTGTGGGGTAGGGGGGAGAGCAGACGAATGAATGAATGAACGACGCACAGGTGGTTACCGGCCCGCGCCAGCGGAGGAAAAGGCGAGCGCAACCTCGCTGATACCTGCGAAGCCGCTATAGTGGGCCCCAGGCTCGTAGTGCCTCCGGCCGGAGGACACATCGTAGACGCGGCCGAGCAACGCCAAGTAGAGGCCCGGGTCTTCAGCGCCGCCGCGGTAGCGGGCCAGCTCTTCAGGTACGAAAAGGCGAAAGCCAGCGCGGGGACCCCACCAGCCCATCAGCCGTGATACCATCACCGCTGCTGCCGCTACAGCCAGCCCCAGCAAGAGCCCACGGCCGCCCAGCCTCAGCATTTAGACAGCGCCGCCACACTTCCGAAGTTGCCGCTTCTCTGTCCACAGCTAAGATGGGGAAGACGCCGACCGTGACGTCATCAGCGTCTCTGTCTCTATCTTTCTGTCTCTCTCTCTCTTTGGCGAAAAGCTGACTCTCTGACTCCAACTCTTTCTTTTACTTTTTCAGCATAGCTTGTGAACGCGAGGGGATATAGAGAGCGTAGAGCAGCAGCGAAGACCCTCTTGGCTTGTAGGTTGTCTGCCCCCAACAAAGATGGCGACAAGGGAGGCTGCAGGATGACGCAGACGTTATGGCAGACGCGCCCTCTCAGACGGCAGAGTTTTTCCCTTTGCTGCCGCGGTCCTCGCCTAGCTGTCGTGAGCTGGGAGAGTCCACTTGACGGCGCCTTTCCGACAGCAGTCCTCACTTGACGGCCAGGAAGCCGGAAGCCGCAGCCGCTGCCGTCGTCTTCTCCCCGTCCCCGCCCGCCGGGTGCTGTCGGAGGTTGACAGGTTGAGGCGGGGAGGCGGCGGCGGCGGCGGCGGCGGCAGCGGCGGCGGCAGAGCCCGGCGCCCAAGACGGAGACCCCATGGGGAACGTAACGAGTCACAGTAGTGAAGACGAAGCGGCAGCCGCCGGGGGCGAAGGCTGGGGCCCGCACCAGGACTGGGCCGCGGACTCGGGGACGACCCCCGGCCCGGGCCTCCCGGCCCCGGCGCTACCGCCCGCCGCAGCGCTGCTGGAACCCGCCAGGCTGCGAGAGGCTGCGGCTGCGTTGCGGCCCACACCACCCTGCGAGTCCCTGGTGTCCAGGCACCACGGTGCACTGTTGCGCTGGTTGGAAGAGCGGCTGGGCCGCGGCGAAGAGTCCGTCACCCTGGAGCAGTTCCGGGAGCTGCTGGAGGCTCGCGGCGCCGGCTGCTCGGGCGAGCAGTTCGAGGAGGTTAGGGCCGGCTGGTGTCTGCGGGGGCGGGTCAGGGCGGTGGTCCCCAAGGGCGTGAAGAGATGGACGATTGCTTTGGACAGGCCAGGCACGAATCCATAGGGTCTGCAGGTTCTTAGGACGGGAGCGTGGGGGGTTGCTGGACTCATGTGGGGCGCTTCTAGCCTGTTCACTCGGGAGTTTGCTACGTCTCTTTCTAACCTTTATTACAGCGTGGAAAAGCCCAGACTAGGCCGTCCTTTCTCTGAAGAGCTGGACAAGCCCAGATATATCTCTTCATGTTGCTGTAGTGCAGACATTTGTGCAGTTGGGTGACGCTGGATCAGCTGCTCTCTGGAACTTCCTCATCCGGCTCCAGAGTAGTTTAAGAGAAAGGAGATGTAAGGATCAAGGGAGTGGCAGTGAAAACGATTGTTTTATTGGCCAGTGCAGGTTTTTGCAGAACACCTTCTGAATCCAGTATGGGAGCCTAATAAATGTGGAAGGACAATAACACATACTGGAAAGACTCATATTCTAAAAGCCATTCTCATCACGCAAAAACTAGCTTTTCCAAAATTCACATTTGTTTAAAGAACCACATATTAGACTCATTTAAACCCTCATAGGACTTAAAACTGTTAGCAAATACCAAGTTTCTTGTAAATAGTTCTGATTGTTCAGCTGGTGCATAATCACCAACATCATCTCTACTAAGTCATTAACAGAGCAAATTGATTTGGCAATGAAATATTTTCCTTGGAAGGGATCTTAGGAATTATATGTACTGAACACTTCTTTTAGAGTTAAGAAGACTGATCCAGGGTCGCCCAGTGAATCAGTCTTTGGTAAAATTGAGACTATCACTCAAATCTCTTGATTTTTCTTTTAGATATCCCACTAACTCCTTCCTGAGATCCTATTTGTTTAACTCCACAATGTTATGACCAAAAGGTGCTTAAGTTGTGAAACTCAGTAAGCCATGTAGATCTTCAGTGTCAGTGAAGGGCAAGCACATGAAGCAATAGACTAGCAGGTACTTGTAATGCCACTAAAAGGTTCTGTTCACTTTACAACCGGAGGCTTTTAAAATATTTTGAGAATGTTTTCCTGTACGTGGCCAGAATTCAAATAATGTAGTTTGTATGTTTCTTATGTTTTCCTTTAAAAAGTACCATTATGGCATCCTGGCCCTTAAAAATATGGGTCATTTTAGTGAAAGGTCTCCATTTTTTTAGATTCCAAGAGTACACATAATACTTTCACTCTGGCACCTACGTGTATTGTGAAAATATGAAGTGGTACAAGAAAGACTCATGTAGAGCCATGTAGAATTTTTCAGGGACTTGGCACATTTCAGATTTGTCGAAAGGAGAGAAACAGTGTTTACATTGTGAGAGTGTCTGACAGGAATAGAACTTTAGGTGGAGTTTATAGGAGTTCCTTAATATAAGGCCAAGAAATCCTCGAGGTGTGGTCCAGAAATCACTCATGAGCTGTGACATTATTCATTTGTTCACTGAGCAAATATTCATTGGGCATATACTGAGTGCCAGTCACTTGAATGACAGTAGACAATAAATGGTGTGTTCAAGAACTAGGTACTCAACTAAGACCTACCTGAGAAAGTAACATTTCAGCCCATATTTGAAGGGTGAAAGCAGATAAGGAGGAGAAGGTGGTAACAGTGTTTCAGGCAGAGGAAATTGTATCCACAAAAGTCCAAAGTCCTGAAAATGGATAATCTGGAAGTATAGTGTATTAGGGTTAGACAACACTGTTTCAAGGGACAGAAAACCCAATGTATCAGTGGTTTAAACAAAAGAACTTATGAAAAAGTCCAGGTAGGCAGTCCTGGGTTGATATGGCAGTTTCACAATCATCAGGGACCTGGCTTCATCTGTCTTATGTCATCATCCTTCACAGGCCCCTTCCACTCAGTGATAATTGACTCCTCTTGCTGTTACTTGTCACATTCCAACAAGCAGGAAAAGGAAAAGGGAAGGAGAGGGCATGTCCCTTCTCTAGGGGCATAGCTTCCATCCCATTGGCCCAAATTTAGTCCCATGGCCACACTTAGCTGCAAGAGAGCCTGAGAAAGATCCTTATTTCATGGCCTGATTCAGCTAAAAATCAGAATTTAATTACAAGAGAGGAGAGCAAATATTGGGTTACATTTAGCAGTCTTTGACTCACATGGCTAGATCAGAGAATGCTGTGAGTGAGGCCAAAGTTTAAAAACCTGATTGTGATAAACTTGCAGTGGTTGCCCTGTCCGTAAGTAAGGGGTAATTGTACCAGGACTATACAAAGAAAATAAGCATTAACCGTGGATTTGAGTCTGTGCTTTAAAAATAAGTCTGTCCTTAGACTTAAATAAGCACATCTGTGGATATTTACACAGTTCTATATCTAAGCTTCTGAAAATGTATTGTGATATTTTCATACAAGTTTAAGGGTTTTTGTGAAATAACAATAAAATCTCTATGGTAGCAGTTAAAATGATAAGTTATTTTCCTTCATTCATTTTTATAAGACCTAGCATGATAGAGCACATCACTGGTGTATATGATTTATTATGCTAAGAGTTTCCAAGTATTACATGTTTGTTCTTTGCCTCTTACTTTGCGTTGCCATCCATATCCACCCAGCTGTCTTGTTTTTGCATTCCTGTGACCTTAGCTGCTTGAGGAGGTGTTATAAAAAAGCTCTTGGAATTGGACCATGGACCAAAGTTTGAAACATTATCATTTTATAGTACAACACACCTTTTCTCATAGTAGGCGTGGTCCATGGAGAAGGACTCCAGTTTGCTGACTGGGAACAATATTTGATTTACTCCTATGTAGGAGAGAAATAGAGTTAAAATTAAATTTTTATTCGACATCAGAGATTAAAGATTAGATATTTAGCTCTTAATACGGTATGCTTCTAGAAAATCATGTAGACCCTAGGGCAGAAAAAAGTGCTGAGCATAGGATGATAGTAGATGACTTTAAGGTGAGATTTAATATGAGTAGGTCTTATTTTATTAATTTGCCATTTTAGCTTTAGTGCATACTTCATGAAATTCATGGGATTGTAAGCTTTGAGGGAAGGGCTGTGTTGATTCTATTCATCATCTTAGCACAGTCTGGATCATTGCCAGTGCTCACTGTTTCGCCTTAGTTCCCTCAGTGTGATTTAGCAGATCGAACAGGGTGCAGTCCTCACACTCCAACCTTGTATTTCATATTCAGTCTGTAACCTTTTAATAATAAGATATTTCCTGACATTAGTGGGAACAGTTAAATGTAGTTTTAGTGAAAACTTAAAAAGGTTCTTAGTCATTATGGTTTACAGAAAATTTGGAGAAAAGCCCAAATTCTCACCTTGGTATTATGATGTCAAAAGTATTAATCAACTAATTTATAATGGCTTTGAGCCCAAGAACTGTGCAAATAGAAATATGCAAATGTAATTCTGTGAGAGATGTGTATGTGCACCATAAAGTCGCAGCAGACTACAAGCATTGCCTACCCTCAGCTCATAGCTGTCAACTCCCCACTGCCTTGAGGGACCAAATGCGTATTCCTCTGAATGGGTTGTAGCCCACAGGCCAGCCTGTCTCACACTCTTACCTCGTCTACTTATGCCCCCCTGCATGAGCCCTGTGCTGGCCTGGACCTGTGTGTGGCCCTTGCTTCTCTGAGTTCTTTAAGATTCCCCACCATGGCACTATCACCTGGTCAGCCCCTAAGCTTTCCTGTGATTCAGGTGGCTTCTCTATAATGGTGTTTTAAGCTGTACACCTGAGGCTCCTCTTACCTGTTCTGGATAGGTCATTTGGCACTTGTAGCAGACTGTCTACCCTTGTTCTGCAGGTAGGCTGTGAGGCCCCTCAGCCACCTGCCTGCACACAGGACACCTTCGGAAAGTGATGGTGGTTGAGAGTGATGAGGCAGTGCAGAAGAAAAAGATCCTGGGGGAATTGGAGGTTATTTTGGCCTTGCGTGCTTTGCTGTGGGGGAGATGACAGTATTTGCTTCTTTGGAGAAGTTCATGATCCAGGAGAGCTAGGGAGTAAAAACCACAACTCTGTTTAGCCTTTCTGTGATTTCCAAAATACCACTTTGCCATGATACTGCCTTGCTTTAGAAACTGCAGTGGCTCCCAATTTTCTTCAGAATCATATCCAAATACTGGACTAACATTTAGGTCCTTATACATTTTCACCCTGTTTCCCAGTGCTCTTGAGCCAGCTAGGGCCTTTTACCTTTCCTCATATATATGGGAATTTTGTCCTTTGCTCCCCTTCTCCCTCCATTGGCCCTTTGCTCTGTGCTAAGCCCTCTCCACTTTCTAGGACCACAGAGAAGCACTTCACAGTAGCATGGAGTTTGAGAAAGGCTCCACCAAACCAAGGCTTGAGAGGCTGGGAGAATTTGCCTGGCAGAGGATGAAAGGAATATTCCAGTCGAAAAGCACAGCATGTACAAATATATTGAGGTGAGAAGACAGCATGACAAATTTTGGGAATGATACTCCTTTGACACCTGGTCTAGAGTCCTAGCTGGCTGGGACCTTGGTCATTATTACATGAAACCTACCCCCTTCCTTTCCCCATAAAGGTATCCCTTCCGTGGCATCCTGGACAGATGTGCAGTTAGCTTGTTAATGGTATCAATGAGTTGCCTACCTTATGAGTCTGCCTCTTCTTCCTTAGACTGTTCATCTTTAGACTGAGCTTCAGAATTTGGCCTGGGGCCAACCTGTTTGTGGGCAAATTCTAGATCCACCATTCTCAAGCCAGGTTACTTTTACGTGACTCTGTCTCAGTTACCTCACCTGTAAAATGAGCATAGTAATAGTATTTACCTTATATAATTGGTACGAGGATTAAATGAGTTAGTTCAACGTCTAGAACAGTGCCTGGCACATGCTAAATGCTCAATAAATGTTGTAATTGGTGGTGGTATTTTTCCCTATTGTTGTAGTTCAGCTCCAGGATCATATACTCCAGCCTTTGTGTGACAGCCCTT